TTTTTATACGGGGAATAAAAAACAATCTTAAGAACAAAGATTAAAAAAAACACAAGTAGAATACTGTAAAAAAAAAAAAAAAAAAAAAAAAAAAAAAAAAAAAAAAAAAAAAACTGTCAAATAAAAAAAGAATACTGTAAAAAAAAAATAATAAAAAAAAACACTGTTTTTATCTTTCTCCCCAACCGTCACTTCTTCACACCAAAGCCAACCCCACCGGAGACGCCCTTCTCCGGTCACTCAATTCTCAACTCCTATGTTTTTCATGGTAAAATATTTATTTTTTCTACAGAAGAATTTGTGAAAGAATGTCATCGATTAACTAACGAGGTCTAGATATGTTTGTTTCAGCGTCATATATAAAAGATGATGTAACTTTGGTTAGTAATGGTTATTATATGTAATAACTACCTTTTAATCTAATCTATTAGAATGTACCTATCCTAATGCAGAAGTTATGCAAGGTTTTTTTTTTTTTTAAAAAAAAAAATTATTTAAATGACATTCGTCACCATCTATAACCATCTACCAAACGGACCGATAGGGTTTCATCCGATATTGCTTATGGTGATGTGCATTTTAGGTGTATTGTTAGTTGTGATGGATGGCCTTAATGCAGTACTAATATACTAGGAATCTAAAGTTATTGTTGTTCAGTCTTGTTATTCATATATGAATGGAAATTGTTGTGACCTATTGTAATTCAGTCTTGTTTGATTTGTATAGGACAGTATTCTTTAATCTTCATGTCTTCGTTACTATAAAAGAAGTATTATTGGATTTACTGATAGTGTTGTCAGAAATGCTCTTTAAGTAACTTGATTTGATCGAGAAAGAACCTACAACATTCTAATTAGAAACTGCTAACTGATGAAGTTTGTGTTTGATCACAATTTCACAAACATAAAATATTAGAGTTTTTTCCCTTGTTGAATAAATCATTTGTTTATATAATTATAAATATTTATAAAATTTATTAATTTATAAATAATTATATGTAATTTGTTAATTACTTCATCCGTTATTTTAATTGCACTATTTACACTTTTCAACTATTCACACACCTCTTTTGTGATTTATCCGTTAGAAAGAAAATATAATTAAATATCATATTTTTAAATAATTATATGTAATAATTTATTACATTCGCCCCTTAATTTCGTGATTAATTAATTTATTACATGGTTATGACACACACAAAATGTGATAATTACACTTATACGTTCGAATCCTTCTTTGACTCAACTCATTCTATAAGAGAGTATTAAATTGACACACTTGTCACAATCTATAAATATGAGAGAGTAATAAATACTAATCATGTTTCATAAATAATAAATGTAGCTCTTTTTTATAAAATTGAATTAAGCTTGCATTAATTTTTTCTTGTTATTTATAATTAATAATTACATGATTCAGTTCACTTTTAATAAATATATTATGTCATAATTAAATTATCACTTCTTATCATACTTGTAAACAAGTCATTAAATAAAATTTATCAAACAATCCAAGAATCATAATCATCAATAATATAATACTAAAACAGACACCGGGAATGACACATGTCACTTCCTAGTGTCGTTATTTCCCACCAAAAACTATTTCCAAAAATAAATATATTCTAAATTGATTTTTCTTTTCATATCTATTATTTAAGACGATAAAATTATATATATTTAATTAATATATTATAATAGAATTTTAAGATTCTTATTACTAATATTAATGTTATTTTTCTTAAAATGATTTTTTTTTTCTGATATATTACAATCAAATAGGTTTCATTTATAGTACGAAATAAAAATTGAATAAAAAAACATATTTACGCTATATTGCATCAAATTGACTTTAACACATAAATCAATAACTATAAATATATATAATTATATTAGATATATTATATTAAAAGGTGAAATCGGGAATGACATGTGTCATCTTCTTTTTAAAATTTTCTGCCAACATATATTTTTTTTCGTTTTTTTTTTTTTGATAAAGGTTTCTAAAGAATATTCAATACTATTCAATAATATTTTTCATACTATTTGGTAATTATATTCCATTTACACGTTCAATAAAAATATTATATTAATTATTCTTTTATTTAACACCATGCAATAAAATTTTTCTACATATAACTTTGTAACTTAATTCATAATTATTTTTATTAGTCGTGCATGTAATACTCCCATTATTTTCTTTAGTGTGATATAGTTTTATTTTTATTTTTGTAATTACGAATTATTCATCTTATTTTGCAATTAGATAATTTTATAATCAAATATAGTGTTAGACTAATAATAAATAGTAATTACCGTGCATGGCACGGGATCTAATCTAGTCTTCTTATAATGATGTCACTTCAATTTTCAAAGTATATAAAATATCTAATATGATACTATGCGAGTATTAAAAATTCATACATGCATACATACCTAATAAAATTATGGTGAATTGTCACAATCACTAAAAATTATCTCACTCGAATTTTCCTATATCGTAAAGATAATTATTGTCAAAATAAAATTGCATAATTAAAAAAACAAGAAAAAACCTTCCTATGTGAGAAATAAAAACTTGTAGGAAAACTTCTGAAACGTCTACTATCATTAGTAATACATATGCATAAAAATCCCTTCCAATTCAAAGTGGAATCTCGATTTTGATAAATTTGATATGAATTATTACTATAAGAAAATAACATTCATTAAAGATATCTTTATTTAACTACAATTATAATAAATCATTTTATAACAAATTCAGACATTTAATGCAAGAAAAATAATCCCTCTATTTTTTAAAGTGCGCATCACTTTTATCGGCATAATATTTTAGGAGATTGACTTGAATTCTATAAATAATAAGCACAAAGAAATTGATACATTGTATAAAATTTTATAGTATCAACTAATTATAATAAATATACGATCAAAATAATTAAAGGTAAAATAATGTTATGTATCAACAAAAATGTATATTAAAGTATTTCAATTACTTTAGGATGATTAATTTTGTAGGGTACCCCTCTGTTTCTTTTTATTGGTTATTATCAGATTTTAAATACTATTCATACTACTCCCTCCGTTTCTTTTTATTGGTTATGTTTAGATTTTAAATACTATTCATAATACTCCCTTCGTTCCAAAATACATGAGATGTTGGACTTTTTTCACTATTCATGTATTAGTTTTGATCATATTTTTTACTAACATAATAAAAATATATTTTATCATAAAATATGCTGTTAATTAGGTATATATATAAAGTTTCAAAATATAATTTTAAAAATAATTTTCATAAATATTTAATTATATACAAATAAAGTCAAAGTAGTGCATTGGCACGTGTGCAATGTTGACTGTGTCATGTATTCTGGGATAAAAGGAGTATTAGATAATCTTCAAATTTGCTCATAAAAGTAAAAGAGTCCTGTGATATCTTGTTTTATTCGTATCAACGAATGCTCCAATAATATTCAATCGTTATAATTTTAAAAAGTATGTAATGAAATTTATTAATAGTCAAATAGGTGTATTGACAAACGTGTAAAAATCAAAACGTATCCAATAAAAAGGGACGAATAGAGTATTATACTTTAGATATAGGGTAATTTTGTGAAAAATTAAGAAAATTTTACCAACAACTACCATTATAATGACTACTTTTGAGAACAACTACCATTTATTTATTTATTTTTTTTAAAAAAAAATCTACCACAAAAATCTTGAGTAACACAATCACATTTAATTTCTTGGCAATAATCTCCAATTGAGGGAGCTAAGAAATCGACTGTTTCGACGAAGAAGGAAGGGAGGAGGGGTGGTTTAATCGACCTGAGAAGTGAGGGGCTGTTTTGGGGATGGGGGAAGGGGGTGGTTTTGATGGTGTAGGTGGGCCGCTCGAGTGGTTTGAGGGGTAGGGAGGGGCCGACCGGCTGTTATCGGTTATTAGGGGAGGCGGCCGATCGAATTGCGATGGGGCTGGGGGTTGAGGCTAGGGGGAGGAAGAATGGGGGCTGGCTAGGAAGGGTTTTTAATTATATTTTTTCTTTTCTTACAAAAAAATTTGGACTAATTATGTTGCGTCACATCACACATGGCTTTTACAAAATAAAAATCACCCTTTCTTTAGGTCACTGGTAAATCGACCTAGTGGAAGAAAATCAACCCAAAAATTCATAGTGCTCCCGAATAAATTTAAGTTGGGATTATTGAGAGTAAATCGCTGAAAGTTCGGATTAATAAATTGACAAGCTATAGTTGTATCACCTAATCAAAAGTAATTCCTAAAACCACTAACTAAAGTAGATAGGAAAGTAGGGACGAATCCATAGGAAAACAATGTTCTTTTATTTCTAATAAATTATTATAATCTAAATCATTAGGGAACAAGTTTGAATTGTGAGAATTATACTATGACAATAATTAAACTAAGCGAATAATCAATAATAAAAGACCTAGGGTCATAGGGTCATCAATAAATAATACTCCGGGATAAAAGACAACAATCAATTATCAATGCATAAATTAACCAGATTATAAAGGGCTTTTGCTATATATTATAATCACATAATTAACCTAGCGGTATTAAATCGCATTTCTCGAATCTTGACTTAACCATTTTTAAATTAATTCTACCTATTGAAATTAGGCCTTAATATTAATTCTCATCTGTCGAATCTCGAATTTATATTGTGTAATTCATACAATTAAACCTACGCAAATCTAATTGCATAGCATTATAACAATCAATAGGAAATTAACCCAAAACATTAACAATCAATAATAATGAATCATCCCTTCATATTATTCATGCATCCCCAAGAACCCTAGAATTAACTACTCGCACATAATTAAATCTAGACTAATCAAAGCAATTAAAATAAGCATATTTAAAACAATAATAATAAAAGTAATAAAAAAAAAAGCAAATAATAATAAAACAAAACTAAAGACAAGAAAGCAAGAAAAACGTAAAACTTAGTATTGAAAATAACAAAAGACAAAAAGCATAATAAAAGTGTGATAATAATAGAAAAGCATAAGTATCAAAACTCAAAACTGAAAAACGTAAATCAGACAAAAGCTTAATTAAAACTAAAAAGAAAAGACTAAAACTAAGGAATCTAAAGAATAGCTCCATAAAAACTATTACTAAAGTCAACTCCCTAAAACTAATTCTTGGGTACTACCAAGTATAATCGCCTGACTCCCCAAAATATGATAAAACAATGAGTATTAATAGCCTACAACTCTTAGCCGAGCCCACAAATTAACTCTCGCCCGATCGGGAATTGGGCCGCCCGATTAGGCCCGCCTTTTTAATGCCAGTAGACCTGTTGTGATATTATTTGGGCTTCTTTCTTGGACTTGAGCTCTTTAATCCTTCTTTTGCTTTATCGGTTGGTCCATACTCCATATACTAGCTTTTAAACCTTGGGACTCCTTTACTAGTCGAGCCCTAAGTCACCGAACCTAATTTAATCAGCTTGATCTTGGGCTTCAAATATACGGTCATAAAATACGATCAAACTTCAATATCTTCGTAGTGGCTCAATAAGCTCGAGAATTATCATAAATCCTGCAAATACCTACAAAATAATATCAACTCTACAAAAACACTAAAAAAACGTATATTAGTAATATAAATAGATCCGCAGAGCTCAAATAAGCACAAATATGACCGTGGGACGGGGAATAAAAAATATATATAAAATGGACTCATCAATATCTTCGTAGTGTTTACTTTTTTATAACTTGGTACCATATTTCGTAACTATATACTTCGTACATAGTAAATTTTTCGAGTGAAAAAGTACATAGGAACAAGTAAATCGGTAAATATGAAGTTGAGTTGAGAGAAAAACTTGTCATCTTGTATCATTGTATATTTTGTATGTGAGGAAGGAAATAGAGTTGAGGTATATAGAAGAAGTAATAAAAGTACAAAGGAAAATTTATTACCTCCGTTTCACATTTTTTGCAACTTTAGCGTCGACACGAAGTCCTAGACAAAAAATGAGAAACGGAGATTAAGAAAAGGGAGGGACATGTGATTAAGGTAGGAGAGAGAAAGTGGGATAGATTAACAATGAACCACCTTCCAGCCACACCAACAACCACCTTGACGCACCACCACTTAGCAGCACCACCTACACCAGCCTCACGGACACCGCCCAACCACCACACACCCACTAGCCACCACACTCAAAACTTAAAACCAACCCCGTAGCCATCGCACACCACACAACCCCGACACCATCTACCCACAACGCTGCAACCATACGGGAAAATTCAAGTTTATCTCTAAGATAAACTTGGAAATATATCTCCACTCATAATATATTGTTTTACTTTTATTTTCTAAATAATAAAAGTGGAAAAGTAAAGTGGCACAGAAAAATATGCATAAAGCTGTGAGAGGAGATTATCTTGGAATGTTAATCTCAGAGATTAAGTGGGCTCCCTCCAACCATACTACCCAAAACCTAAAATGTAACCCACAACCACCACACAGCCACCTCGTAACGCCCCACACTAACCCAAACCACTTACCCTTAGCTCGCACCCTTTAAAATCACCCACCTACCGACCACCAACCCTCATCGAAATACCCACCTCGCCCTAAATTCGTTCGAAATTGGTGGTTCAACCACCACCATAACCGCGAACTTTCCGTCGTGTAGATCTTCGCCATTGATGATCTGTCTATGGGAAGAAAGAGAGAGGGGCAGGGGTCAGATCGAAAGCTAGAGATAGAAAATGGAGAATTGAAGAAGAACTTCAAGAATTGGGTTTGATTTCTTGAAAGATTTGATGTTATTGAATGTCGTTCAATTGGTTGTTGAGGGAAATAATTAGATCTTTGGGTGGAGATAATTAGATTAATTAAGTTGAATTGGTATTTTTATTAAGTTTTGTTTTAAGTAACTAACTAATTCTCTGCCACAGGAATTTTTTTTTTTTTTTTTTTTATATATTACTATAAGTTTGTATTTGTATATATATTGTGTATATGATTTTAAAAATATTTTATTTATTTAAAGTAGTTGTTATTATTCTAATTTTTAGGCGGCATATTCCCTTTTATTTTTTTATTAAATCAATTATCTTATTATTATTTAAGGGAAAAAAAAGGTTTTGGCGGAATTTTTTTTATTGTGAACGTGACAGGTGTATTTTTAAGATAATCTTGGTGATTATTTTATTATATATATATATATATTTTTTTTTTTGAGTAAAAGACTTTATTATATAGTATTGATTGAGTTTATGAAAATTTTAGCAAGGGTATTTTAGTAATATCATTTTAAAAACTTTATTAAAATTGGAAAATTTTGGAAAGTTACAAAAAAATGTGTAGTCTACATTTTTGACAAAAGTTGCAAAAAATGTAAAACAGAGGCAATAGCATAATCTTTTAAGTTATGAAAAGAGTAGAGTTGATCAAAAAATCGGGCCGGATCAGGCCTTAACATCATATTTCCTACCCAAACATGCAAAAAAATATCGAGTTTTTTTAAGGCCGAATTCGAGTTTTTTAACTAAAAATGCATTTTAAGGCTTGTTTACACCCGTCCTATTTTCGTGCTAGATGGAGTGATACTAGCAGTCCTAGCCGATATTGATCATCTGTACATGTGTCCAAATGAGTATCATGTGGATGTGGCACTACTAAGGCCAACCTAGATACCTAGTAAAAATACTTAAAACCAATAAGTCACAGATTTTCTAGATTTCAGATTAGCCAATTAGCTAACACAAGATAAGGAAATGCTGCTTTCAGAAAATAGCTTCTGGTGCACCCAAATTTCCCACCACTCCCTCGGAAAAAAAGGAAAGAAATTTCCCACAACATTTGCAAAAAAGCCAGATTTTTCTGATTTTCCAGAAAACAAGCAGAACCCCAAAATTGCTGCCTCAGGAGCAGTAATCTACAAAAAACAACATAATGGACATTATCTAAATGAACCGATTTGTAGAACTTGATTACGTTGAGAGGGATACAAAACTGAATAGAAAAGTTTTCATGTCAACTGATGTTTGTGGTGTGTATCAATAAGCCTTCACACCACCACTATTACATGGAAGAATCAAACCATAAGATGGTTTACTAAGTTATCCTGAAACTAGAACCATTTTTCCAAATAAAAATTCCAGTTACTAGAACCAAAATTTATCAGAAGATTTGGTTTGAAGCTACAGAAGCTCTATTGTTTCTCTGGTTGGTTGGGGTGTATCGTCTCGGTTGTTTTGTTTAAGTGAAGACCATTGAAACATAAAGAAGTTGCAGTTCCTCAAGTTTGCCTCTCATGTTGGTGGTCAAAAGCATTTTTTTTTTTTTAATGTCAATAACTATTCTGTTTCTTATATATTCTCGTGAATTGCCAACATAGGAGTCCGTTTGGGTCAAAACTAAAAAGATTGTAAACAATAGTCTTCCATCCGTTCCTCTTCACTTTGGTGGTAGGTCCCTTGGATTGACATTTTTCTAGGGAGGAGGTGGTTGCTGTCTTGAAGGTTTAGGTTGGAGATTTGGGAGTGAGAAGGGGTTTTCCTATCTATTATTTCTGCATACAGCTGTCACTCTGTCAGGAGGTCTGAATCCTATGTATATATCTTATCAATGTCAAGCCGTAGTTTATAGAGTCTGAAAGAATAAACTTGATTCGAATAGTATCATATTTGACTTTTTTTGGCTAAAAACCTGAATAACTTGGACCACTTTTAAGTCAATAGTTTATTTAAAAACCTAAGTAATGATAATTTTATGGAAAAATGGAAGCGCCTTCAAACAATGTATTGATAAAATCATATAAAACTTAATTTTCTGACAAAATTTGGTGTTTTAAGTCTTGTGCGATGAAGGGATCCCTTGTGATTTTTATGTTTGTTTGATGTTAAAGCAAATAATATAAGATATCCTCTGCAACTGCATAGATTTTGCTTTAGATAACAAACCGAGTGATCAGTAGTGCCACAATTGCTGGAATGTTCTATCTTGTGTAGTTGTGTTTTAATTTTGTTACCGTTTGTAATATTATATGTTGACCTGTTTTCTACAGGAAGGATCTAATTGAAGTATTCGATATGTTAGATTTCGGACAACTATAGGAAGGGCCATACGTATCCAATATTGTTAAAAGATGAATAGGGATAGGTAAGAGTAGAAGGCTATACTTCAATTGTGTTTAGGAAGTAGGTCATTAGCCATGCATTCAGCATTAATTTCTCCTTGCAACATAATTTCCTATATCACGCCATATTGGTAAGTGTCACACTCTCATTCTCTTTGACATTACAGGCAAGGGGCTCCAAGGAAAAGGAGTGGCCCTCCACCAAGAATTAAGGGTAGAGCACGATTCAGGTTTGAAGAATCATTTTATCAGAATCCGTATCCAGAATGCATATGTAAGTCATAGGATCATTTGATGCAACTTGAACATGAATTCTTTTCTGTGAATCTGCTGGTGGTTTTGATTACTCCAGAGCATTTTTTTGAGCATGGCTTGACTTTATGACGATTCACGAATGTGCAAAAATGAGTTAGGATATGATTGTTACTTACCCTTTGTTGATTAAGTTTTGGTTTCTTTTTTTTTTAAACGATATCTTTTTACTACAATTTTGTTATCATCCTTTTGATTTAGGCTGCCATTAATAAGCTTCACATCTTTTGATTTTAAAGAAGTAGTTGCATAATTCATAAACTCAGATGAAGAACCATTATGTCTATGCTATCTCTCTGCACAAAAATAAAACAAGGTAACATTCGAAAATTTAGGCATTAAACTTTAATCCAAGTAAACTCATATGCCAAATCTCAAACTATTTGGAGGAATCATCAAATTACCAGCAGTATAATAACCAAGTTAGAATCTATCAGATGCTCGAGCTGTGATAGTTCTTAGCCTTGAAGAGATTTTAGCAGCAGGGGAGCCCATAATAAGGCGGCATAGACAGTCCGTTGCAATTTTGATAGCATCATGAGAACCCACAATGTGAATCTTGTAAGCAGCAACTACAAGCCTAGTTTTAGTAGCATTTTCAATCATGAATTTGGTCTTGCCACCTTTCCCACAAATCCTTCCAATGGCTCGAGTCAAATGATTCCCCTTAAGTGTACGCTTGACATCCAGCATATCGATTGTAGACATATGAAAATGATCATACTTGAGAAAAACATCCCTTATTTGCTCAGGTTCAAAGCCCAACATGAAGGCTTGAACATAGCTAGCACACTTGTAAAGGTTGCTAATGTCCGAGGTGTCAGGCATAGTCTTAAGTTCAACCTGCTTTGCCTTAAGATTCATGCGGATGTCAATTTTCATCTCATTGCGAATGGGATCGTAAATCTGGTTTTTCCATGCTTTTACAAGTGGTGTGCGACGGTGTGGTGGTGCAGGCACAAAGCAGAACAAGTTCAACACTATCTGAGACTTCCTGAGGCTGAATGGCCTCAAAATTTGGCTTCCTTGCCAATTCCATATTACCAAGAAAAATATCAATCTATACAACCAAAGAGCATAAAACCATGAACAGCATTCAGGCAACAAAGTGTATAATTTGTGACACGAATAATTAAACCAACTTCGTGTTCTGCTACGAGCATTAAAAAATATTATACTAGCTCCATCTTATTAATTGTAACAAAGGGTATTATTTGTGAGACGAAAAATTCCTTTGTTTATTAAGAAAAGGAGGTAGTATTTTACTTTTATGCAATAATACCGTAGAAGAATCCCTATAAAAACTCATTAATTTGGCTACTTTCACAATTGACAAAGGCAACAAATAATTATATTAAGAAAAATTCACTTTAAAACACCACTAAAATTGTTTGCTTAACCCACTAAGATAATCACATTGTTCATTTCAATTTTCGAAGAATATCATAAGTACATAATTACATATATTCTGTCCTAACTTTAATTAAAGGATTCTTCAACACATTAGTAACCAAAATCTGACTCAATTATTAGATTAAATTCTTCTCGCTTAAGAATATAAATAGCAAAATTCTAACTTTAGAATAATTCAAACATAACCTTCATATAGTTCGATAATCAATCCACCTTTAAAGAACCCTTAATCGAATTAAATTGTTGACGATTAACGCTACATTGTGAAATTAACATTTGATGATTAAATAAACAATCTTACCTCTAAAAGCTGCTTTAATGGACGAGATTCAGGAGAATAACTCAATGAAAAGAGAAAACTTTCGTTCTTCTATAGTTCTGTCACTTCTTTGTGTAATTCACTGTGTTACGGTGTTACCTGGCGGCTACTCAATACTTATGCATAGTCATTAAGGGTTAAATAGTCATTTTAATTTAATTTTATTTCCCCCGTCAAAAAAAAAATTAATTTTATTTCTCTAGAATTTCAAATGTCTATTGCTCCACACTAATGTTTTACTTATTTACATATTGGATTCGAATTTATATCGAATTAAAAAAAATTAAACCTGATTGAATCCCCAATTTACATTTCTCATCGTCTCTCTCTTCTTCCTCCTGCTATTCCCAATTGATAATTAGGGCTAAATTTTTTGGATTTGGAAGACTTTGAATCCTGCTTTAATCGGAGCTTTTCGAGCTCATTCATGGCGTGCGCATCACATTACTCTTTCTTTGGTAAATCTCTCTAAATTACCTCTTTTTCTGAAGAATTTTATCATCAATCAATACTTTAATCTGGATTTCTGCGCTGTTTTTCTGGGTTTTCAGCTATGGCGGCGGCGAGATTCAGCTCACTCTCTTCTCCGCGCCATCCGTAAGCTCTCTTAATTTCTCATTCCTGTATTTTTCGTTTTTTAATTTGCTTTATTTTGGTGTAAATTGAAGTACATTGTATGATATTTCTTGCATTTTGTAGTTTAGGGTTTTATTGAATGGCTAATTTCATGATAGTTTAGTCAAAAATCCAGTACTTGATTGTGCATTAGTATTAGGTTATGGCAATTTTGGTTGTTAATTGTTGCAATTTTGGTGATAATTTATCACTCTGTAGATGATTTCCGTAAATTTTAGTTGATCATTTTTGTCATTTTAAATACTTTATTGGTAAATTGTTTATTGTAGTAGTTCTTTGTTGAAGTTATTATTATATATGTACAGGATATTTGGATATGATGCAATTGCCATGTTTGTTAAAGATTTAGCCGTGAATGTACGAGACTCTTGTCAACAGATGGTTCAAGGTTCTCCTTCAGGAAGCAATGGCTTTGACGAGGGAGAAGCGCCTCAAGCTGTTTTTAATGTGTTGGATGGCATTATAAAAAGCACCTTGGATCGCTTGAAGACCGTAAGGTGACCTTTTGTTGCAGAGTTTTTCTCTTTGCCATTATTGATTTAATTTTTATGCTCACATCATCATGTATTTTGGGTTTGCCCCCTGTACTAAATTTATCACCTTTGTCATGTTATGTAAGATTGCTGGATAAGTGAACCACATAAACTACCTAAAAACTACTGCAAGGCTCTAGGATTTTTTGTTGCTAGTTGCCTAATCTTCTCTGTAGCTATAGCAATTCAATGTATATCTATTATTGGGAGTGATTGTGTGTCTGTTGGATTATAGCCTAGCCGACTACCTGTTTCGTAGAATTGTAGTTGTGATTCCTATTCTAGGAAAAAGTAATGGCTCTAGTGACATTTTTTTACCCCTAGCATTACTGATTACGTGTAAATGATTGTGCAATTATTTACGCGACATAGCCGATATTGGATCGTAACATAATACTAGTAGTTAAGAGTCTTAGATTCCCATGTTAAGGTTTATTTAGTATAGGCCATATGGACCTAACTTGTCTTGGGAGATGCAATTTTGGAGTAATACTATTGGATTATTGAATATATATATATATGTGATTGATAATGCAGGGAAACTTTGTCAGTACCTGAAATTATCTTGGCGAAGATCTCCACAACCACTGATTTTCAGGAACTTGAAGCTGCTATTAGGCTTTTAAGTTTGGAAGGTAAGTTAGATGTTGCCCTTTGGCTTCGAAGCAAGCTAATCACAAATTGTTATGTTCCTGATGTGATTACACACAATCACCTAGTCAATGCATTTTGTAAAGTTGGGTGTTTGGAGAAAGCTGATTATCTTGTTAGAGAGATGTTAGCCCAAGGCCCCTCTCCTAATTGTGCAACTTTCAACACATTTATCAAGGGTTATTGTTTAAAGGGTGATGTAGACAAAGCTTTGTCTTTGTTTTCCTCAATGGCTAATTATGGAATCAAGCCAAACAGGATTACTTGTAATATACTTATTCATGCTTTATGTAAAGAAGGTTTGGTGGAAGGAGCTAGGAATTTCCTTACAGAGATTTTAAAAGATGAGTCTGAGAGGACACCGGTTGATTTAATTACGTCTACCATACTAATGGATAGTTATTTTAAGAATGGAGATATTGCTGAAGCTCTTGATCAATTGACGAAATTGTTGCAAGAGGGTAAACAATTAGATGTTGTTGCTTTTAATGTTCTTATACATGGTTTTTGCTCAAATCAGGAAATTAAACTTGCGTTTAGTTGTTTTGGGGAAATGATTAAGAGAGGAATTCAACCCGATGTAGTTACTTGTAATACCTTTATAAGTTACTTCTGTAAATTTGGAGCTTTTGATGAGGCATTGAACATGCTTAGTGTAATGCTAAATATGGGAGTGGCCCCTGATTGCATCACTTATAAGATAATTGTTCAAGGCCTCTGCTTACGCGGAGAGGTTGATAAGGCAGCCAAAATACTCAGCTGTATGTTAGAAAATTCCACTATCCCAGAGCCTGTTATTTGGAATTCCATTATCTATGGTTATGGAAAATGTGGAGACACCAAGAATGCACTGTCCATCAGAGAGAAGATGGTTGCTTTTGGCGTTCCCCTGAATACATACACCTATAATGCAATGATATATGCCTTGTTAAAAGAAGAGAACATCAATGGAGCTCTATCTCTAAAAAGAGAGATGGATCAGAGTGGACAAGTTCCTGATCTAGTGACATACAACATGTTGGTGGGTGCCACTTGTAATCTTGGGTTAGTACAGTTTGCACTTCAATTGCATGAAGAAATGCTTAGGAGGGGGTGTATTCCAGATGTTGTGACTTACACAGAACTGATCAAAGGTTATTGTTTAAAGGGTCAAGACAAGGAGGCAGAAGAAATATTTTTCAGGATATGGAATTCTGGCCTTCAGGTTGATCATGTCTCATGCCACATATTGGTTAAAAGACACTGCAGAGCTGAAGGGCTTAAGCAGTCACTTAGCCTCTTTGACAATCTATTGGATGGGTAGGAATGTGCATAAGCAGGAGACTTAATGTGCATAATGCCTTTGGAGATTATGTAAGAAACTGTTTTAAAGTGAGTAAATGATGCATTGTCATCTTGGACTATTATGACTTGAGACTTGAGATGGCTTGGTCTAGATGATGAGCTCTCAGATTGAAGATAGGGGTCCAAGCCAATTTGAGCAGATGGGAGTGAGTGATGATTGACGATCCCTCCAATGACATCGTACTGCTTTGTAAGTCAAGTAAACGATATTAAATCCCAGTTTTGTCAAACATTTGTCACTTACGGGTTATTACTTGCCCGAGAGTGCTTGCAGACACAGTAGCACTGCAGCTGAGAAATTTGCAGTGCTCCATTTTGAGGTATGTGCCTTAGCTTCTTTCATCTCTTTGTTTTGCGATCAGCTTAGCTTATATTGGCTAGGAAGAAATTTTGCAATGGATTTTGTATGATTAAATCTGACTAGAACAATTAGGATTTGTGCCTGTGCATAGTGTCGTTATAAGAGAAGAACACATGATTACATCTGGCCTTTTCTGGAAGTAATTTTGGGTAGTGCAAACGTTGTTTGGCCTTTTCAGAACAGTATTGTTTTAGCTACATTGATTTCCTTTTTATTTATTTAGTATGCTACTCTGACTTCTAGTTTTTTTTTTTTTTTTTTTTTTTGAGAATCTCTGACTTCTAGTTGATGCTAGAACCACTATACAAATCTTCATTCTTATTAGACATTTATACTCGTTTTTGTCAAAAAAAAAAAAAAAAAAAAAAAAAAAAAAAAAAAAAAAAAAAAAAAACATTTATACTCATCTAATGCGCCCTTCAAATTTTACACCTTTTGTCTCCTCAATGAGATACCTACAACAGTTATTCTTAAAGATTTTTTGTGTATTATTTGATAAACAGGTACACTGGATGCCATAATCAATATGATTTGATACGAAGGATTACTGAGATTTCACTAATGGATGAGCACCAAGACAGTGCAGTGTTATTTGCTGTCAGGGCTAATCAAGTGGTGAGGAAGGGCTTGTCTAGGCTTTTACAATTCCAACAAAAAACGAGACTCAAAGTTTCATTGATGGTTGTGGCAAAATAATACTACATGGAAGTTTGAGACGGGACAATATTGATGTACATAATTTACTCTGCTTGATGAAAAGGGAAAATTGTCTGAGGTGTAGCTGTAACGATTGAGACCGAGCTGGCTGTGGTAAAAATATTGATTGCCATATCGTTTACTGTTATATTCGCGAAAGTAATGTTATTATAAACCAACAAACTCGTGAACAGTTGTTAAAATTAAGTGTATCGCTCTACTTGTTTTTCTTGAATTTTAATTCACTAGGGAGGGGATTGTGAAAACTTTGTCCCCCATCATATGTTTGTACACCTGAAATTAACAATTGTCAACAACCACTACGAATGCCTGACTTCTTTTCCCAGAGATTGATCTATTTTCAAAATTTTGAATGGCTTCATTTTAGCCCTACCTTTTGGTGCTCCAATCTCTCCATCCCTACCAATGTGAGTTTGCTGGATGCAGTTCAGTATATAGTAAAAATTACAAAGCGGAAAGTTATCCTCAGCTAGACCGTCCCCTTAATATCTATGATTCGATTCATTGACCCTTGAATGCTAATTTTAGAGGTTGAATTCCTTCGACATTTCATTCTCAGAATCAATTATGGTTTTAAGCAAGGTTTTCTTAGCTTCATTGAACAAGCCTTCACATTGCAAAATGAGATGCAAGCGGCATACATAATCCTTGGGGCTAGCCATGTTTATACCTCATAGGAGAGTTTCAATCCTTGGGGCTAGCCATGTTTATACCTCATAGGAGAGTTTCTTACTCGTGGAGAGGGTTGATCTCAAAGGATTCCACTGCCATGACATGCCTACCTCGATTGGCAAAACAGACAAAGTTTTCTAAAGATTTTTTGGAAGAAGGCCCCAAGACCACAAAGTGTGACTGCGTGAGTCCTGAATGAGCAAGCTACAAAAAAGGGAGGGAGTCTGTAGATGACGACGTTTTCCAGAGAATTCTAATGGTGGCATAAATTTTGTTAATGAGAGTATGTATTCAACTTACTTATCATTCCTTCTTCCCTTGACATTGACAAAAAAATTCATGGTACAATTTGCAACATACAGATTGCTTTGCAATTTCACAACACCTCACACACCAACAGAGCCAACCCCTCCCCCCAGCCCAAAAAAAAAAAAGTTTAAGAACAATTTAAGGGTTGCATGTATTGCTCAAAATAATGACGCCGAACCCATCTGAGAGCCTAAACTTGCCTCGATATGCAGCTTCTTCAATGAGTCCACTTCTCCTATCTTAATGTACCTGAAGAACTGCTATTGATGCCAAAATCTCATCAACTGCTATCAAAATCTGCTATAAATGAGCATGTATATATAGATATGATGATCTCATTTAAAGCTGCAATAACTGCCAACAAGAGATACAAGATGTAAGATGAGTCTTCTGCTTGAGAATCATGATATCATAGGAAATGGCTAGCCATCAAGAGTGCTGGTCTCTCCTTTTCTTCTTCAACCTCTTTCAAAATTTCATCTCTCATCTCCTCAACCCTTTTATCCCAAATATCATCTACTAGCTTCCAGGTTTCATCACTAATAATTTGGGTTTCCATGGGACGAGGTGCCCCAAAGGTTGAAAATCCCACATTACCGGGTGCAAAGGTAACCCTTCCTGGACAAGTGATACCATGTATACCCCATCTTCCAGCATAAACCAAAGCACCGTACTCGTCAACAGGATCAACAGCTGGCTGAGAAATTCGGGGAGATGTTTGAAAAATCTCCCATATTTTTGAGGCATTAATCTCTCCCTTATCAAGGAGTTCATCTGTTATCGTCTCCACAGCAGCATAGTGTTCCCTCAACACCGATGAACATTTCTCAATAGAAAAACGCATGTATTCCTCTCTTAGAGCTTCAAGTTTGGGAGCAAGATTTGGGACAAGATCGCGCTGATGTCTATAATATGCTTTTCCAAAAGCTGTCATCCCTGTTTGCAAAATCAAAAACTCAGCTAATCTTGAAGCTTCAAGAGTAGCTTTCGATGAAATCCAGCACAAATTATCTATCCCAAAGATCTCTTCTTCAATAACCCTGGGAGCACAAGCTCGAACAATGGAGTTCACATAATCTGATTTTTTCAAGAACACCCTTCCAGAAACTTCAGCATAACGCATACTAGGCTGGCTTTGAACTGACTTAATGTTGGTCTCAACAAAAGGACGATATGGGTCAGGAAAATAACAAGCCAAGACGGCAATAGCTGCTTCTCTGTAAGCTAATCTCACCTTCAACTCCTCTGGAATTTCCTTTGTGTCTTCTATTCCAGTTTCAAATGTACCCTGTTGCCTTTTCAAGGCCTCCAGTAGTTCTTCTCTGCCAATGTGGTCTTGATCTTTCCTAGCAGTCAATATTCCAGCTTCATTGAGAATATTCTGTAGCTCTGCTCCAGTAAAATCTTCAGTTAGCTCTGCCACTTCCTGCAGCAATACTTCTTTTTCCTCTTCAGAACGAAAAAACTTGTTCCTTGCATGTACCTTCAATATAGCCAATCTGCCATCTTTGGAGGGTAGACCAACTCTTACAATCTTGTCAAATCTTCCTTTTCTCAGCAAGGCAGGATCAAGGATATCTAGTCGATTGGTAGCTCCGATGACCAACACCTGTGATGTGGAAACTTTAAACCCATCCATTTCAGTTAATATTTGAAGCAGACCTTGTTCTCTTTCAGCCCCGCCACCTCCAATGTCAGGGCCACCACGCTTGCTACCAATAGCATCGATCTCATCAATAAAAATGATAGAAGGAGAAAATGATCTAGCACTAGCAAAAAGGTCCTTCACCCGAGATGCTGCTACACCAACAAACATCTCTACGAAATCCGTCCCATTGGCAGCAAAGAAAGGAAGTCCTGCTTCCCCAGCAATAGCTTTAGCTAATAATGTTTTACCAGTTCCTGGAGGGCCATGAAGTAACACACCCTTGGGGCAATAAATGCCTTTATCCTGAAACTCTTCTTCATTTTTTAGAATCCGTACAATCTCTTGCAATTCTCGTTTTATATACTCTTGGCCAGCAAAATCATCAAATGTCACTCCTGTTCTTTCTTCTGCAGATATAAATTTCGCTCGACTCTTCCCCAATGATCCCAATGCACGACGCTTAAGGGGCTGTCTCACCTTTTTGCTGGGTTTCCCCAAATCACAAGGGATTAACTTGGCATATATTGGCCTTGTAACACTATCAATCCATAGATACAACATTATGGAAAGAGCTAGCCTCATAGACCATACGACAGCTGTTGCAACAGAAGAATAGACTTCTGCAGGCACTGTGTTCTCATTTATTACATCAACACTTACCAATTGTTGATGCAACTTATGCCAAACATCATTCCAACAATCAATTGGCATCCGGTCAACTACATGGCGCTTAAAAACAACTTCCTCTTTTGGGTTTTCTTCAGAGATTCCTTTTACCATCCCATCTTTGTAGTGAGGCAATATCACTGCATAGAAACCCATTAGCAACAAAATTAAAGATCGATTTTTAGGAGCACAAATGAACATAAACTCTCTGATTTGAGGGGAAGACCAGAATATATTAATACTAATATAGAGCTACAACAACAATCAGTTTTTTTAGAACATGATATCTTCATACCATTAAAAGACAATCATTTTTGGTAAGTTACGAAATATAAAAAGCTGCCACTTTTACATCAGATAAACTGGTAAATTCTTAACTTTAAAGTGCTTCAGAGCAACTACCCCATCCCCGTGAACCACCAAGCAAACGTAACTAAGAAAGCACAGCAAAGAGGAAAGATAACTAGGGGGGTGGGGGAGGCAGATAAATGAAGGATAGAAAACGCAAATGAATACAAAAGAGACATGTTTTTCTAACCTGATATAGTCTGACCAAAATTTGAGTATTCCATAAATTTGACATTCTTTGTGTTTAAGAGACTCATAAATTCACTATAATCAATTTTGTGTGAATTCACAGGATCCCACTCAGTTCCTTTCAATTTCCCACGCATAGTCAACAAGGTTCTGCTCCATTCAGAGGCCATTACAAGCTGCCTCTCCAATTGCACATTTGCTTTGTTCTCAAACTCTTCCTGCTTCTTTACTCTTTCTCTCTCTGCATCTCTAACTTTCTGAAAGATCGCAAATGTTGAGCAATCATCTTAGTAGTGCAACATGCATAGGTAAAACTTACAGACTGCGGCTCAACTTACATACTAATACTGTAGTCGTCACTTCCAACTGCCTAAGAAAGATAACTTTCAAAGCAAAATAGTTTTACAAGAGTAAGATAATCATTATATAACAGCCAACAAAATGCTCAAATCGCATTGCCTCAGACGGTACTGGAAACAGGGAATGGTTTTGCGCGAGTAGATCATTATCATCATAAAAAACGGTACTAGTCAACAAAATGCTCACATCAAAGATAAAACAGCCCTAGCCAAAAGTATTGGATACAGAGAATTTTAAACAAGTTCAACTTTGCCTCAATAACGGGATACTTATTTTGCCACAATTGAGGTGTACCATAATCCATAACCATATCAAACTATCTAACAACCCTAATAGTATCTTGAAACAAAACAAGTTATTTCACTTCAGATATTTGATACCTTGTTTTTTCATGCGTGTCTCAAAACTATGTGGTGATAATGAGTACAAGCTTGGGTAGCTCGTCTTAGCTTGCATCAGCTCAAAGCCTCAAACTATAGAATAGATCTCAGAAATTTCAGACAAACCTGAGCTCATGACTGGAGCCTCATTAACGAGCTTCAATTATGAGAACATTGTTTTAAGCTATGATTTTCACGTTTCCAGATTTCTTTTAAGATTCTCATTAGTAATATGCTAATATAATAATATTACTAATATTATAACCCATTTTTAGAATTTATTCTTTGAATTTGCTACCGAGTTTTCAATCAGTTGTATCATGAACATCCTGTTTGCTACTTCAAAATAATATCCCGGTCTCTCCAAGAACACGATAGCATACTAAACTAAAACACCATTAAACAGCTCCCCTCTTAATCCTTAAATATCTGACTATGCAACATGAATATCACTCTCAGAAACTAACAGGTCTTCTTCACTAAGCCAATAAGCATCCACTTAAGCATTTTGAATGCAGTACTTCACCAATTTCGAACAATCAAGCATTTCATCAGCTTCCTACAATAACCATGCTATAAAAAAAAATATTATTCTTCCAACAAACATAAACAAACAAAAAAAAATTAATCACTAATTTCACCATCATTATCAATTCTAAATGTTAATTCAACTACATTTCAGCAATATTCTTGAAAATAAACCAGAACCCATTTCTCTAATTTAACCGTTCTCCCCAAATAATGGTAACAATAATTAAAATCATACTCATTTTTACAAACATTTCAGCAATTGACACTAAAATATGAAAAAATAAAAACCCCACATAAAAAAATTTATAATTGTTACAATAATAATAAGGAACTTAATAAAAGATATGAAATTGATAGAAAAATCGAGTGGAAAAGACCTGAAAAAGCTGAAACGCCTCAGTGTCATCTTCTTCAACTTCATCTGCTTGCTTATTATCTCCAGTTGATGTAAAATTGGAGTTGGAATTACAATGGGTTTTAAATTTAAGGGTTTTTCTAGGATTAGAGAGACGAAGGAAGGAATTAATGGAGCAAAAATTGGGAGATTTTGAAGAAATTCTCAACTTAGAAGAAGATGAAGAAGAAGATTTAATGGGGTTTTGAGGGGAAATTAAAAAATGGGTATTGTTGAAGAAAATGAAATCAAAATTTTTGCAGAAATTATTGGTAATTGTCATCATCATATTGCTGTAATTCTAATGCATAGGATGAGATTAGAGAGGTTACTTCACAGTTCACAGTTGACAGGAGGACATTTTTCAGGGGTTTTTGGGATGAACTCAGTTTGAGCTTAATGGGGTTTCTCTCTCTATCACTCTTTTTGGGGGTTGCCGGTTGGGGGGTATTTTTGTAATTTCAGTTGCTTCAAAATTACAAATTTTTCATAATTACAATTTTCTTTCTTGATTTCTAAATTTCCGGACTAGTTTTTATTCAAAAATAAATAAAATTTGGACTAGTTTATTTTTATTTGGACTCAAATTAAATCAACTCAAGTAGTATTTTAAATCATAACGTAAATTAATGATCTCTAATCCAGTGTATACAATCTATACCTAGTACTTCCTATTATAAAACACAAGTTACTAAAAGTTTGTTTTTCATTACTTTTAAAAATTTACATTAAAAAAAATGTTGTTAAGCTTCATATCTTTAATTCAACACACAAATTTTAATTCGCCTATTTTAATTTTAACTTCATACTAGATCTTGTAAGCCATTTTGTTAAGCTTTGAATCAAACTCAAATTCAAGTCGGACTATGAACAAAGAACGGTCAAGTAACTTGCAAGCAATTCCGTATTGTATGTTGAGTTGATGACTTAGAGCCAAATATTTTTTTATTAACTTATGCAATCATTATATTTCACCAGGTGGATGAGACTATGAGAGCATGACGTGCTTTGGTTTAATGTTCTTTTCATTATACTTGCATGTCCCTTTATCATGCTTTTATGCCCTTTTTTTTTTTTTTTTTACTATACATATTCTATTATCATGTTTTTTTTTTTTGTTTTTTTTTTTCATATTAACCGCATAAAAACAATATACTTCGTATGTTGTAAAAACAAAAATAGTATTTTAAAAAATGAAAATGAGATAGTTATATATAATCATAATTTGAAAACTTTAAAATTGCTAACTTATCAATGAAGCTTGCATGTAAACTCAAATAAATAGAATACATGCACAAATTAAATGTTCTTAATCTTATTATGGTCTGAAAATAATACTCTACTCTATATTTCACTCCAAGAGATCGGATAATTTGCTTGCTAAGTTGCTATCGCCTATCAACAAGCAACTAAACCAAAAATTATGATCAAAGTATTTCAAGTGTTAAAAAAAACTAGTTGTACGATAAATTGATTTATTATTATTATTTTTTTCTGTTTGAAAGAATGCATAATAAATTGATAAAATCATTGTACTGACACATGAAGTATGACACTAATGACATAGGTTTAACTTCTGTCTATATGCTTAAATAGCTACTAAAAAACCTGATAAATTTCTTCATTTTTCCATCATTTTTTTCCAAAAAAAAAAAAAAAAATTAAATTTGTTTCCTATTTTCAAGTTTCAAACAGTTCTGATGTCCAGGAAAAAAAGTTTCATTCAGTATTAACATGCAATGCCACTGCCAGTGGAATCATCTCAGTGCATTGAGTCTAATCTTGCGGCTCTTATATGCTAGAATCGTAAAAGCCTTGACTAGCTCTTCCTTCACCATGAAAAGTACAGAGGCAGCGAAAACACTCTGCACTATCTTCGTGCTCATCCCTTTATAAAATCCCAGTAATCCTTCATACCGAATCATTTTTACAATTGCATCCAGTGTACCTGTTGAGCAAAGAATTTGAAGAACACCACCAGAATAAGTGTCTTATAATCTATAGAGAGAAATCTGCATGTAAGAAGTTGAAGACATTTGACAAGTCTAGATTCAAGGTTGAAGACCAGCTGATACTGTGGTCCTGTCATCAACCAGAATTTGGAGTGGAATAATGTAGGAAGTATAATGCATCGGTTGCCTTAAAATGTTGTCCAGAAAATCGAGGTAAATGAGTAAACTTACAAATTTGCATGAAGCAGACAGCAATTAAAAGGGGTACAATTGTTTAAGAAAAGAAATGTCACACGATTATGACAATATCAAGCATTCTATGTGAAGCCTCAAAGCTAGTATGCATATCAAACGCACCTGAGTATCTCAGTGAGACATTACTGCCAATATCTTGTTTTGCCTGTAGCCTTGACTGCAAAATTATTCCAAATTCCACAGTTAGCTAATATTTCAAAAGCCTTTAAGATGATATGAAAAAAGTCTTCTTTAATAAAACATAGCCAGGATCACAATATCATGTTCCAGGATCACAATATAGGAAATGACATCACAAACACCATGGAACTTCAACCCAGTATAAATAGTTATAAATCTTTTATATAGGAGCAATCATGTCATGGAATGAGTTTATTCCCAGGTGTCTGTAGTTCCTTTTTAATAATTTATATTTTCTTTTGCGGCAGTTGGTAGCAAAGCCAGGTCACGAAGAGAGAGTGTTGCAGCAGTTGGTAGCTTAGCCAAGTCACACATTACCTACATCATTTACTAATGGCAGTGCCAGACAAACAGCCTGAAAGTTTATGCCTCGAGAATGATGTTATTTGTCAAAAGCATTTAGCAAATCTTCAATATATTAGCAACCAAAATACCTTGACTACCAGCAATGGATATGTTGTAACAGTTGCACCGAGTTTAGCCACAGCACCAAGAAAGAAAACCTGCTCATATAACAGTTAACTCAGATTCTCAACATTTCAACTGGTGATACACATCTTAAGAGAGATTCAATTAAAAGCTCTCTTGTTGTGATATAGTATTAACAGAAAGAATCCAAAAACTACCAAAAGAAAAACATAGGGACTGGCAAACGGCTATACGCTGCACCTAGTCTCAAGTTCAGCTAAAATTCCATTTCAAGCCACTCAGGTTGGGTTACATGGATCACCTAGCACATTACATAAAGTTGGAGCAATCCCAACTTGCATGAGATCAATAAGCATTAGTGACTTATCTATCTTGCCATTTTTTTTTTCCTTTTGCAGATAGGTCACCCCCCTCTCCTCCCCCTCTTCTTTTTTTTTTTCCCTACCAATTCAACAGTTTCAATTAACCTCTTGTCTAAAGGTAAAATTGCAAAGGACCATATCATGCTATCTACTTTGGCTTCAACTCATTGTCCTCGGAAGGTAATTTAACCACAACAGAAGATATCTAACAAAATTATTTTGAACAGAGATTCACTGCTCGATTGGACATTTAGGACAACACTATGTAAATTTTGATCTTGTTAAACCTTGCTGAAGAAATCACAAGGTTCTGATGGTATAAGTTGAATTCTGAGTTTGCAACATCTAAAAATAAATAAAAAACACTCAGTATTATCTTACCTCCAAAGCCGTTATTTGCTTCACTCCATGCTTTGCTCTTTTTTCTTTGAGAGACCTTAGTGAGGTCTCATAAATCATGAACTGGATTGATGGGTTGCAAACCTGAAAATGGTTCACTACTGTTACTTCAAAGTCAGAAGATTCCCTTCGTTATTATTTCTCATGGATAAATGAGAGAGTAGTGAGAGTAACCATTATCAGAGTAGGAATAAGGCCCTTCCAAAATCCTCGAATTCCTGCTTCACTGTAAACCTCACCAGCCTGTCAAAGGTTTAAATGCGAATCACTCATAAGAGAATATCAAATGACCATCAACAAAAAATGTAAGTGTAGCGACTTAAACTAATTTTCCATTATATTACTACGTATTATTTTTTTTTACTCAAAGCATGTTTCTTGAATATTGACACCCTAAGATCGAGATCCAAGGGGTATGCCCACAAGTTCTGTTGCAGGGGTCACAAAATATAGAACACTATTCACTGGAATGATGACCGCACGTATATGAAAGCAAATTCTGCCTGTCTGCATTAGCCAATTTGATGCCTGTCTATATAACAAACAAGTGTCTTATACAACCCAATTACCCAGATACACATTAAAATTTTGAATAGGAGTCATAATGTCAGTGAGGTAAATGATCCAATAGCACCCTTGTATAAGCCAAACTGATGCTTTCCCTTGACCCCAAATATGTAAAACATACTTGACAAAAAAATTAAAGTTTTAGCAAATAAACCTACTCAGATTTGTTCATAAGTATATACAATCGAAAACCGCATAAAAAGCATTAAAATGAACACCAACATGCTACCAACTTTTACAAAAAAACAGATTGTTTTACAGAACCTGCATGTTTTTGCAGGAAGCTATCTTGCACTTTTTTAATATATAATGAATTCAGAATTAACAAAAGATCATGTTCACCAATACTTACAGCTTGCAGTGTTCCATAAGGTTTTGGTTTTGACGATTCAAGTTCAGCCAACTTTACTAGCAAGGTGGATGCTGTTGCACTGTTATGAGAAGCTTCCTTCATAAGGGCGTCCCTTTTTCTCTCCATTATGTTTCTTTCTGCTTGGGTTTGTGTCTAAAAACAAAGATGCTGCGAGACATTAGATAAACATGAACTCTGAAGTACATAATGCACACTCTGCAATTTCAAATGTAAAGGGCGTAACCAAAGTTCAACCTCAGAAAGAGTACAGGCAATGTGGGAATGAATAATCTATCTATCATTTTCATCCTGAAAGTTCCCAGTTATTCTAGCTAAGTTAGTAAGGTTTTTGAAAGCACAACACAGCACAATTTGCTTTTTGTGTACCTTGAATTTTATATTCAGGGGTCATTAATATTCTTCACAGCCCATATTCAAATCTTTAATCCAATATATTCAGCAGTACTGATGCCCCACCCCCCAAAAAAGAAAGAATACGCAGCAAGGTCCAAACTTTATTATGGTACATATGCTAACTAGGATTGCCTCCCAGGGACCATCAAAATACATGCCTTCTCATAAATCACATAGTGTAAAGGAATACTCTGAAAGAACCTGCATGCGAGTGACGAGTACCCACATTGGATTTGTCAGCAAAACATTCAAGCATCTGCAAATATATAAAAATATATACATCACCAAGTACAATAATAAAGGGAAATTCTTGGTTTTTTCAAGAAAATGAAAGGATTCAGCTCTTTTTCTAAGAGACGGAACTCAATTTTGGTAAACAATTCCAGAGGAATGCACCAAAAATACAAAGATACTATGCATCCAAAGGGTTTTACCCGGCCATAGCTGCAACAGCAAGCCATGAAATCATTCCAACATTTCCATCACCCAACCCTTTCGCCTTGCGTGCTGCTGCAAGTGACTCAGCCTTGTTCTTGAAAACTTGGTAGAAGTAATAATAAACACCCTGATAATGAAGAAGATGAGAAGTAAATAGAACAACTTAACAATTAAGTGTTTGTGCATAGTAAACTTTATCCAGACAGGCTATGATTCCAGAAAGAAGTATAACAGTCAAGCACTTAGCTTGTTAAGAAGGTGACACGCCCTGGGAGCTATTTTAAAAAAGAAAAATAACTGAATTTAAATAAAATCTAGTACTCTAATCCATATATCCCCAGTAGTACATGAACCTTTTTGGCTATACTTATCTCCAAAAATATCAAGGAGGATACATAACGGTTGAACATGATAATGCTGCCAGCCATTCATGGAATAAGACATTGTACCCAGGAACAAGGTTGAATCATGTCACTGAAACTGGTCATACTTTGAAATTTTCATTTTTCTTTTCATACTTTTGCTTTACAGTTTACTTCTTACAATTTACTAATTTAGATGCACAGATTTTATGATGATTGTTTCCCTAAGGTAAAAAGTAGAAATTCAAAGAGCATGTACTGACCTGTGAAGCAATAGTTCCAAATAGGGAAGGCTTCAGGCCACTGTAAAGTCCACCCCAACCCTCAGTTTTAATAACCTGAACATTTACAAAAAAAGAATCAGGTTGTCATTCATTCACACAAAATTGAAAGTTAAACCAGATATAAATTTGCATCAAGCAAGGATGAAATTGAAAACTAATTCATTTATTCAACAAAGAAACTTATCATAATATTGAACATCCCACTTTTAAGAAAGGTACTTATCCAATTAGTGAACTAGAACTAGCCTGAAGCAATTGGACAAGTGTGCCTCCAGGACGCTGATTTCCAGAGGGAGAGGTTCCATGACCACCATCGAGCCCTTTCTTGACAACTCTCTCAGTTTGCTGGCGTGTGTTAACCTACAATCACAAAGCCACAACCAATTCTACTGGTGTTTTATTAGTTATATGTACAGACTCTACACTAGAAACTTACAAACATATACAGAAAAGTTACACCAGATTTTATACCGTTTGAAGAGGGTATGTTAAAATCTGAGCAATTAAACCACCTCCTGCTCCTGCAAGTCCATTAGCTAAAGCGCTCGACATGCCTTCTCCTGATCAGGCGTCACAGGAAGAAGCACTGCTTTTCCCAGAAATGTGGATAAAATAAGGATTACAAATCTGAATTACAGAAACAGTATTTTTTTTTAATTTTTTTTTAAAAAAAAAATTACACATGCAGTGAATAAGTAATTTTACCTATAGGTCTTAATGTCCTATGCTAACAATTTCAACAGGTTGTTTAATTGTTATTTTTCTAATACTACCATATTCTTCCCATATGAAATATACATCCTCTTCCCCAACCCCTTTTCTCCCGACCTTGTGAAAAGAATTCTAACGAAATGGATTCCGGGAGTCCTTTACTTTTGTACAATTTTAGTTACTTATGAATCTGTATAATCATCCATATATCTAGCCTCTCCAGTTCATTTGCCAAATCTTTTGAAAACTCTTTGCTTTATTTAGTTAGTTGATCAAGCCAAAAACTACAGACTCATCCCGGCATCCCACTATTATAGCTCTGATGAGACCAATCCCCATAAATGGCAACTCACTCCAGCAGCTCAAAATGTAATGATCTATCTATGTTGACTAAGAAAATATAGCCTTCTCTTTTATAGAGAATAAGGGACTCAGCCAATTTTTACTATTTTCTGGTATAGCTTAGTCAGTAATAGATAAATTATGCTACTCAGGCTCTACATTTCACCTAAATTACCGAGTCAAGTATCTGACACTCCAACAAAGATAGACACTTACGCTTCACATTGGACTAAAGCTATGTAAGATTTTAGTTAAATGGTTGACTCAAAACTGGAACACATAACTTTTCTCAATGCAACTATTGCAACCTAGTCTTAGTTTAGATCACCATGTATGGATGCTATCTTTGGTACCCAGCAAACTGTAAGTTCTCTACACATCGCGCAACACAAAAACCTCTTAAGACCATGAACTTCACACGAATCTATTACCAAGAATAATGCAAAGTCTTGCACTCAAACTTTCCTAGCATCAATTAATCCAAAATGCAACAAACTCCAAAACATAAATTAAAATTCATCAATCTTTCTCCAACCAGCACCCATCTTCCCCTTTCCTTTTGTATCACTCACACAACATACACTCAGAACAACAATTCGGATCAACACTGGCAAATAATATGATAGCCGGATTCAATATTCGATAGTTAAATTGATAGTGTTGTCAATCACTCTATGTCCCCATTTTCTTATGAGAAAATACAAGTTTCTCTCAGTGATAAACAAGTTTCAGAAATGTCTTAAAATCTCCTAATCTCTTAAAATACAAGTTTCTTCTTTGGGGATTATAATTCCTAATTTCTACAGAACTAATAAAAAAATTGTCTTAAATCTCCTGTAAATTACTAAAATTTCAGAAATATATTTGTTCAAATCTCTTGAACAAAATGATAAATTTCCTGGTTTTTTTAAAGCAGTAACTGGTAAGCTATCAATCAAAAAAACCAATAACATAAAAATCAGGAAAAAAAAAAAAAAACAAATCCCATATTTATTACCACTGTATATGTACTCTGATACAAAATTTAGGGGTAACCCAATAGCAATGAGAATTAAATCTACCAAAATTTGAGAATAATTTCAATAAATTACAGAAAATAATCAAGGAAGCATCAATTAGGCTATGAAAAATAAAGAAGGGGATAAGAGCAAATTACCATTAATCTCGGAGAATCAGTGCGTCAATATTATTTTCCGCTAAAGACCAATGTAAGAACAACTCATAAACAAGTGGATAACATTTCTTTTAACAGCCAAAAATTACTCGCTATTTACTTATTCAGGTCATGTTTGGTAATTGGCTTTTTGGTTAGCTTTTGGCTTTTTTTATGTGGTCAAACAGCCAAAAAAGTGTTTGGTAATTGACTTTTCAATCAGCGAAAAAGCCGGCTTTTAAGCCAAAATGAAAAAGATGCTATGAGTAGCTTTTTTTGTTATCTTTGCTTGTTAGCCCACAAATTATCTAATAAACAACCAACAACCAAGAACTAAGTTTACCAAACACTTCTATAAACAGCCAATTACAAAATCCATTATAAACAGCCAAACATTACAGTTGGTCAAACAAGCCTAGTGAGCCAGCTAACCACCAACTGTCAACAGCCATTTGCCAAACAAGACTTTAGTCAATTAACCAATTTGTCTCCAATTACATTTTTAGAAGGATAGGAATTTGGGATATTTAACGCAATACCCGTGTTATTACACGGATTGAAATACATTTTCCGATCTTTTAGCTGACACGTTTCTTTAGTCTCTTTTGCCAATGCACATTCAATCATTAATATCTATAATTACTAATAAGCAAAAAGTATGCTATGTACTACTAGTCCAGCATATGGTCAATATATATCGATTACTAGTCCTGTAGTCCGCCATATGGTCCCTAAAACTCGGCTTTCTTACCAACTGAATCTTTGTTAAAATTGTTACAATTTGTAAATTAGAAGTCCATTTGCATTCAGCATACAAGTTGTACGTCCTAGGAAGGCGGGAAATAAACAATGCTCTTCTCTATTTTATGCAGTAATGAATTATGTAACTGACAGAAACTACAACCAAAAGCAAAGCTTAATTGAAACTAATTAAACCCTATACAATAAGAATTGTGGATCGATGTCATTTGGTACGGGACGTTCTTCAGGGCATATTGGTAAACAATGAGCTATATTCGTCGCAGTTTCCAAGTATGATGCATACTTATGTTTTAATACTTGTCCTGCATTGTAGTCTTCAACTCCATTGTGATCATCTAGGCTTAGTACTTGTACATCACTAGCTAAATTTTGAGTAAAGAAATCGCAATCAATATCACTTTCATGCATGATTTCCTGATATTTTTGCTTACTAAAAGTCCATTCTCCAGTTTTCCAGTTGAAGTTGTATATTGCTAGGAAACGTTGCCCAAATGAAGCAATCAATTCCAAGGCCAACAAGATGAACTCGAATTCTTCGTTTGATAGATAGTATGGAAAGTTGATCCTCGCCCATCCCGGCTTCACTCCTAGATAGCCCTAAAAAAAACAATATAGATTATATTCAATATTCCAAATTTAACTCTATAATTACAAAGATAACATGTACGTACTATATGTAACATTTAACTTAATGTTCATGAATTAATACATACAATGTATAATCAAAACACGTACGATCATTAAAACGTACCTTCTCTACATAAAATCTCAGGGCAAGTGAGTGATTGTGATCGATTTTGAGCAATTGATGAGCATAAGGCCCAGCGCAAGCACACCCTCCTCTAGCTTGTATCCCAAACAAGTCATTAAGTAGCTTCACAACGAACGCCCCGTGAAGTGGTTTACCTCTTTTCTTACCACTTTCTTCCCACATGTAAAGCCTACTATCATTATCCCCTTCTTTAGTTTTCTCATCATATGTATATGCTGAATAAGAGTATACTTGAAACGACAAAATCGCTTGTCGTTTTGCTCTCGTGTTACCTAACATAAAGATCCTATGATTAGAAAGTAGCCTTTCCATGGCTTTTTCAATGAAATAAGTCTCTTGTTTGTGAATCACTTCACAACCTATATATTCCTTTACCCATATTGCCAAGGCTGCTTTGATCTTTTGGATGATTGGTGGCGTCCCCGCATTTTCTCTGTCTTCCACATCATCCACATATATCGTGTTCTGCAATTTCAGTAACACACTATAAATTACAGTATGTTCAAACTATCTGAAAATAATTGTCCTCTTCATATTTTATAACTCACCACATAAATCATTTTGATGTATGTGCAATGAAATTGTATAAATTTATACAAAAACTAAATTCGAACCTCTTCAGTAAAGCAATTAACAAAATCGACTGTACCCCCTCCACAAATAGAAGGTGGAGAAGATCCCAAATAATATAAAGCTTTGTTCATCATAAGAATGCCAGGAGTTCCTGGTCCTCCAAGGAACTTGTGAGGGCTAAGAAATATTGCATCATAGCCGTCCGTCTCCCCTGATCTCATCTTGATCTCCACATATGGCCCACTACGTACCACATACAAAAAATCAAATACAACTAACTTTAGTAAAAAAAAAGTGTAAAAAAGTGTAGTTAGATGCAAAATTTTCACATATGCAATAATATAAATACGTAGTTTGTATTTTCATATGACATATCAGTAGATAACAGGTTAAATGACGGAAATATACATACCTGGAAGCGAAATCAAAGCAAACAAAGCCTCCATAACGATGAAGAAGAGTAGCAATTCTTCTAGTGTCCAAACAAGTCCCAGTTACATTACTACAAGCAGAAAATGATCCCAAAATTGGTCTTTTTCTAGACTTGTAATACTCAAGTTTTTCCTCTAATTCTTCCAAGTTTAACAACCCATCTTTATTCATCTCAATTTCAACCACTTCAACAAGACTTCGTTTCCAAGAAAGATAGTTAGAATGATGCTCATGTGGCCCCACAAAAACCACCCATCTTTCTTCATTACTTAGAATTTGTAACATTCTATCCCTTAAAATTGATGGCACTGCTACTCCCATGACTTCTTGAAGTCGTTTTGTTGCTGATGTTGAACCCGACCCACAAAATATTAGGGCATCATTTCTACCTCCTCCTAAACACAACTTTATGTAATCGTGCGCTTGGGTTACCATCTTTGCTGTCTCTTGACCCACGTAGCTATCACACGTGTGAGTGTTCCCTGTATTCATATATCAACAAAGATATTAATGATCAAAATTGACAAAGGAAATTTAAGTTAAGATGGAAAGAGGGTTTTACTATACGTACCATAAGAAGGAAGGACGTGTTGCATGATATATTCCTCAATGTAGCGTAGGCACCTCCCACTCGCAGTACAATCTAAATAAGTAACTTTGCGTTTACCAAAAGGAGAAATGAATTCCAAATCATTTCCAATTAAGTTGTTCCTTAGCCAATCTAGCTTCTTCCTTGTGCTAATACCCTCCTTAACACCATACTTAGAGTAATAATTTGGCACTTCATAATTATTAGTAAATTTATGACATTCTAATGAAGTACATGAAGAATTAAACATACACATTTTTATTGAATTATATGTTGATTTATGCCACTAAAATTTGGTGTTTGGGCTGGTTATATATGCATTTAATATAATGTTGGTCCAAGTTAATATTTCAATGGGTCAACTACGTGTAATTGCAGCTGAAAAATCAATTACCAGCAACTACTTTATACTGTAATCGTATATTAAAGAATCTATTAGTTTTTTAAACAGAAGAAATAATATGATAATACTAAATAAAGAATGTAGTTAAATGGTGGGGAGCTGCTAAAACAATGAAAATATAATCAGTGGGTGAAAATCAAGTGATGGACTTGAAAATAAAAGTTAGGTAATGGTTTTGCATGCACAAGTTGTAAAGTTGACTTGAAAATATACTTGGTTTTGATGATTTTATTGAACCAATTAGAACTTGCTATTGATGTCGTTATTAAGTGTTGTTCTAGACTTCTAGCCAATCTACACAAAATAATTTCTCTTTACTATTATTAGTCCCTCCACCCTACTTTTACTATCAACATTTTGATTTTTGAATGTATTCACTAATAAATGAATTTTAGTAAGCTTTTCCAATAACCTTTTTTGTAACATGCTCAAACAATATTAGAAAAAAAGTGATTGCCTAACTTTTGTTTGCAAGAATATCTAATTTTCTACCAAAAGTAAATCTATCTAACATGACATAAAAATGCTCTACTATGAACCCGACATGACACGAGAGATATGATAATGGACCATGACCGCACATAGACATTATTTTCAATAGATGGCACAATGTCATGGACTCATGGGATGAGTGCAAATTGTTTGTGCGACACCTGAATCCTCAAGACTTGATTCAGGTTAACCTTCCTCAAATGCGCAACAAGCATTAAAATAGAGGAAACTGCACGCAATGATACTAAGTTCACCACAACACATGTACTTCGTATTAATAAAGCACACAAGCATATTAGTAAGGCGCACAAGTATAAGGAGGTTGTTTCATATGTATCTTGCTATACCGAGACATCTAGGAAAATTGTCAGCTCATGACAACAAGCACAACTCAAGCATGATTGACCGACCCACAAGTTAACCTACTTGTTTTAACCAATTTATCAAATCAAATATATGAAAATTACTAATAAAAAAAACAAAAAAAAAAAAACCCTATTGACCTAGCACGAAATGGGACGTGAACGAGCCGAATCGTACGTTTTCTCTTTTTTTTTTTAAATAATCAATACGAGTCTAGCTCAACATGATTTTTTCTTGATCCGTTTTATGGATAACTCACTTTATCGCAAGGCAGACTAACTTAAAACAAGACCTTACATTGTTACATATTGCATGGCCTTGCCCATTTCGTACTAATTCACCATAGATCTCGAATTTCCCGCCAAAACAGAAAAGGCGCCAAACATTCCCACTCTTCTTCTTCTTCTTCTTCCTCAGGTAGAAAAAACCGAACATTTCCCAAATTATTTCTCAAAACCCTAAAATTTCCGAGTAGAATTCTGTAGATCTTGATAAATTTTACTCAATTTCTCACAAATCACTGAGATAATGAAAGGAGGAACAGTTCAGATCAATTGGCACGACACTAAACCAGTTCTAACCCTAGATTTTCATCCCTTTTCTGGACTTCTCGCTACTGGCGGCGCTGATTTCGATATCAAGGTTTTTGTCTTTCTCTCTCCTCTAAATCAACTCTTTTCAATTAAACCCTATTTTGAATTTTCGATTGTAAATGCTTTAATTGAAGAATATTGTATGATGAGCGATTTTTGTGGGATACTTGATTATTATAGTAAATTAGCCGTCTTTATGTGAATTTTGGAGCTGGATTAGGGTTAGGGTTTGTGGCTTCTTGTTAATTTTTTGAATTTTGGGTGTAATAGTTTGACGGCACTAGCGCTCTAAACAATTCTAAATCAATTAGATCCCATTTTCGAGCAAGTTTGAATCTTGAATTAGTTTGTGCAATTGGGCATGAGAATAACATTCCTGGGAATGAATGAAAATGATAAAGTATATCGTCATAGTAGTCGGTAATATTGAGGATGGCATTTCTGTTTTTGATTTTAGGTATATTATTGTTTTAACAAACATTCTAATAATGCTTCTTTAACATGAATTTTACTTGCTTGCAAGCATGCTGCGCATCTTTGGAATATTTAGACTCTTGAAAGATTCATTGTTTCGTGTATGTTTAATCTTAGAATCTGTGATGGCATTGGCCGGTTTCTGAGTGTTCTCCTGTGTTTTAACTGCTTGATGGGATTATTTCAGATTTGGCAAGTGGATTCGGGAGAAGCGCAAAATAAAATTCCAACAGCTTCCTATCAAACTAGTCTTTCTTATCATAGTTCTGCGGTGAATGTTCTTCGATTCGCTCCTTCAGGTAAGAATTAATCTTGTTGACTTGCTCAATGCACTTTCAACTTTTCATTTTCTATTCCCACATGCTAAAAAGTCTGAAGCTAAAACCCTAAAATAGTATATAATAAGATAACATGCCAGTAGCCTCTCCTTTAGGGCTGCACTGATATTGTTGTTGGCTGCTGTAACATGTAACAATTGATGATTTGACAAATTTGGCTTTCTCAAGTTCTTTTCAGTTTGTGAAGTTGATATTTTTTGCCAATGGCTCATCACGCTTGATTTTGATAATTGTTGAACTTATACCTTAGGATTAAGTGATGATGCTAGTATGCTAGTTGCCTAGTCAAGAGGAATATAAGTATCTTCCTTCAGTTGATGTTCAAACATAAAGTGTCAAATGTTGTGCTACATAATAATATTTTTTAGATGTCAAGATGATTTGCCGACTAATTGCTTTTGAATTATTGGGAGAATAGAGGGGGGGTCTTGGACATGACAGGAGGACTGACTGACTAGAATAATTGGATGAAAGTTTCTTGGTCTTCCAAAACTTCCAAGCTTTCAATCTGTGTTTGGAAATATTTATGCTTCAATGTCTTTGTTCATGATTTCTTGTGCAGTTAAAGAAGTATGGAGGTCTAAAGTAGGTGGAACTTAAGTTGTACAATGTGTTTGGAATCCCTTGTTTCTAGTTTCCATGAATATGAACAGTCAATATATGCATGTATCTACTTTTGCATGAACTTCCTTGCAGCTTTGATGATTATTCTAATAAACATTCCTTTGATTGTGCTGTGGACAGGAGAGCTAATTGCTTCAGGTGCAGATGGTATGTCAATTACACGCTGTGATAATGAATTCTAGTTTGTCTTTTCATTGTTTATTGATTACTGAATAGAGTTCTTATTACTGTAGGGGGTGAACTTATATTATGGAAGTCTCACCTAACAGATGCTGGTCAAGTTTGGAAAGTTCTTAAGACATTGTCGTAAGATTACCTTCTGGATCAACTGTTAATCTATCTTTAGCAAACCTTATTTTGTTGGTTCTATTTGTTAGCATATTGTTAGGCAGTGTAGAGAAGTAGTGGCTAAGTGAGATATGGAAGCAGTCTTCTGGGTTCAAGTTTATGATATACATGGAGATTTGTTTACTTCAATCATTGTTTAAAACCTGTACAAGTCATGACAACAGCTTACAACTCACAAGGCATTGGATATTATAGATCTAACCTGATTTGATCATTGTTCATTGTATCGGATTTCTTGTTTTTTAAAACCAGGCATATGCATCTGGCCTTCCACAATTCTGTCTTGTTAAGATTAATATTTGCTTGTCGTTTATTATGTGGGATACATGATTATCATCTGGGCTATGTGGTTGGTCAATGGTGGAATCAGCAGATTGTATGTTTGAGGACGGGATAGATTGAGAATTTTGTTTTAGGAATCTATAACAGTTTTTAAAGTGTTAGCATCCTGTGTATCTGATATGTTTTTCTTTCTCAGATTTCATAGAAAAGATGTATTGGATCTGCAGTGGTCCAGGAATGGAGCCTATCTTATATCTGGGTCTGTTGACAATTCTTGCATCATATGGGATGCTGAGAAAGGTAAACAAAGATTTTGAATTGTATGTGAAATACTGGCTTGTTGTTCCATTGTTGTTAAACTTTAAATCTTTGTCATTCAGGCTCTGTCCATCAAATTTTGGATGCACATCTCCACTATGTTCAGGGAGTGGCATGGGATCCATTGTCCAAGTTTGTTGCATCACTTAGTTCTGACAGAACTTGCAGAATTTATGTTAACAAACCTCAGAAAGCAAAGGGAGCAGAGAAGATGAATTATGCTTGTCAGCATGTGATTGTAAAGATGGAACAGCAATCTGCAGATGATACCAAGGTTAGTAATGGTTTGTTCGTAGGCTTCATACCAACTGTGTTTAGTATTGATGAGTACTGACATTGTCAAAGTTGGAGATGCAGTGCTTGAAGAGTCATCTCTTTCATGATGAGACGTTGCCATCATTCTTTCGAAGATTAGCCTGGTCACCTGATGGTTCATTTTTACTAGTACCTGCTGGTAGGGATCTGCAGACTACAGTGGCTTCATTTAGTTGTGAAAATATATGTTTTATCTTTTTTTTTTTTTCTAAATTTCTTTTGGTAAGAGATGGGTTTAGCCCCGTTTAGGGGGATTTTCCATTGCATTGATAAATGTGGAGTAGATCAAGATGAAAATCTTATGAGGATGAAGAATCTGAAGTTTCTAAGAAGCTAATACCAGATATCATGAACTTGGTTTTTCAATTTTAACTCTAGTGCTTTCTATTGCAGGTTTATACAAATGTTCGCCTGATTCTGAATCTATTAACACTGCTTATGTATTTTCCAGAAAAGATCTTTCAAGGTAAGTTGCATCTTTTTGACTTCAAGATGGAAGTTGTTGCCTGATCTTTTTTGAGATGACTAATTTGTATTTTCATGCATTATGCTGTTATTTTTTTGATTCAAATTGAGTACACCTCCCCTTTTTTGAGTACAACTAATCTATTTTCATTGACATCCAGACCTGCATTACAGCTTCCTGGTGCCAGCAAGCCTGTAGTTGCAGTGCATTTCTGCCCTTTGGCTTTTAACCTTCGTGGATCAAACTCAGGTAGTATAGTTTTTCAGTTTGATGCATATGGTGAATAATTTCACAATATGATATTAAATGAATCATTATTGTCTTTGACAGCTGGGTTTTTCAAGCTTCCATACCGGCTCATTTTTGCTGTGGTAACTCTGAATTCACTGTACATTTATGACACAGAAAGTGTTGCCCCTCTGGCTATCTTGGCTGGTCTGCATTATGCAGCCATAACAGATATAGCCTGGTACTGCCCTACCCATACTTACGCCCTTCCGTGGGAATAGCTTGGTTAACTATATTTAAAAGTATATTTGTTTGTCTGCTGCAATCCTGAAACTTGTAGCTTTTGATAGGTCGCCTGATGGAAAGTATTTAGCATTATCATCACAAGATGGATACTGCACATTGGTAGAATTTCAAAGTGACGAACTGGGAACACCTCTCCCTTTTCCAGGTTTGTCAGTCATTTTTGAGAAATTTCGCCTTTTATTCTGCACATTTTCTATTATATTTATTCTTTATATAACTTTCTTAGATGGAAAGACTGCTAGTAGTCATGTTGATGAGACTCCTAGTCAAAAGAAGCCTGAAGCAATGGTGGTCAAAGCTTCTGTAAAAGACAGCCCTGTTACTTTAGAGAATAAACAAACTGTAAAAGACAGCCCTGGTGTTTTAGAGAATAACCAAACAGATAACAAACAGGCATCACCAGTGGCAAGCACTCCTGTATCTAGCAAGCCAGCTAAGAGGCGTATTATTCCCATGGCAATTGATCCTTGACTGCCATCATCATCTTTGTAAAGTTCATGTTATAATTATCTCTCTGCTCCTAATCCCTGAGGTTTGGATTTTCTTCCACATTTTGTATAGTGAGTAATGAACTCTTGAAGGGAAGGGTCCATATGTCAGCTAAGATTGCAAGTGTACCATTAAATGATGCTAATACATAATTTTGATATCAATTTTAATGTTCAAAACACTGGAGTTTGCCAGTAACTCAGCATTTTCAAGTTTATGGTTGTTTGTTCCAGCAATTGGTACTAGACAGTAACAAATGCGGACTTAATCTCGCACTGCTGAGATGCTGATATTGGGAAGTTGGTAATTAATGCAGCTGCAGTATCCTGTTTTCACCGTTATTTCTACTGATTAGGATATTTTTGGAAACCCTACGATGTATGTCAAATGGTTTATTTCCCAGTGAGAAGAATATTATGGCACTGAATCACACTCACGACCTTTTCATTTGTGTCATTCTCAAAATTTGTTACCAGAAGCATCTGAAAAATGCAATCATAATATATATTTTTTTATTAAGAAAAAATATCTCGTGAAAGAAAGAATTCTGAACTTTATTTGTTGAAATGTACATACAAATTAGCAAATATTAAAGCAACATGGTTAAACTTATTTCGTTCACCGTTGATTTATGTCCTCAGTGCATGCATATATAGCATGTTCTTCAGCTCATTCATGAGTTCTTGTTCTCAATTTGGAGATGATCAGAGCCAGAAGTAGGTGCAGCTGTTTGGAGAGAATGGGGATGATGTGCACCCCTAGCATGCGAAGTCCCACTCACTATTTCATCAATTATTTTAGTTTCATGAGTATGAATGTCATCTTCGAAGGTTACGAGCACAGCTTGCTCGCCATGAGGACCACGTACAACTTCTTCATGAACGTGCATATGTTCATCAACCGTAATATTATCTGTCTCCTTGATCATTCTCTTTCTTCTCTTCTTGATGAAGCAAAACAATGCAGCTGAGAGGAATGCAAGAAAGAAGACGCCTCCAAGAGACACAAAGACAATGACGATGGTAGCATGGTGCCCTGGAGCAGGAGGTGGAGTAGGCACCACATGAGGAGGTGGTGGTGGAAGCTTTGGTGGCAGTGGTGGCGGCTTTACTGCTGGAGCAGGCGGAGGCAAATGATGTGGTGGTGGCCTTGGAGGAGGGTTCGAGGGCTTTGGTGGAGGAAGAGGATGTGGCGGCGGTTTGGGTTTTGGTGATGGAGGAGGGTTTGAAGGCTTTGGTGGTGGAAGAGAGTGTGGAGGTGGTTTAGGTACAGGCGATGGAGGAGGATTCGAGGGCTTTGGTGGTGAGAGAGAGTGCGGAGGTGGTTTAGGTATCGGCGTTGGAGGAGGGTTTGAGGGCTGTGGTGGAGGGAGAGAATGTGGAGGTGGCTTTGGTATCGGCGTTGGAGGAGGGTTTGATGGCGATGGTGGGGTTGGTTTTGGTGGAGAAATGGGGTGAAAGGGAGGTGCTGGTTTCGCTGGGAACGGGAAAGCATGTGGAGGTGGAAAGGGGAAAAATGGATAGTTGAAATTTTGAGGTTGAGCCATGGAAGTTTATTACAATTAAAGAAAGCAAATGTAGTTTTGAGCAGATGATGTTTAAGGTGTTTGGATAAACACATATATAAAGCCATCCATGAACTTAGTTGCTTGAATGTTGATTGAACTTCTAAGTTCATATAATTAAGAAACTTGCACTTCATTCTAAGATTTTGAGGCTGTCATCTTGTATTTGAAAAATACTTGATGACTCTTGCTAAGTTTGCTTTCTCAACTAGGATTTTCTGTACTAAATTGTTTGAAAATTGATCAACAAGCTCTTGCATAATTGCATGTTTTTACTAAAATTGACCCGTTATGAATCAACGAATTTACCAGCCTTAAATCAAGGAAGAATCTATTACAAATTCAACTCAACTGATAATTTAGTATTAAGCAAAAATAACTCACGGCATAATAATTGATTGTAATATGGAATTATGGAGATTGAAATGTGGTAGTTATTTCTTTGTAATCATGTAATTGACTAGTAATTTGTCAATTTAATTTTGGATAGTGTAATTAGACATATGAAGAATTAAAGTCTTTCAAAGTCTCTAGTTTCCGTTAGATTTAAACATATGCTACTTTGACATTGACACAAAGACTAAAACCAACTTAGCAAGAAACCATTTTCCAAACCAAATGTATTGCATTCCAAGCATCTTTATATTGAGTGATTGACAGCTTTTACATACAGAGAAAATTATAAACTTCTTTATTTTTTTTTTTATTTATTTCATTTTTTTTTTAATTTTTTTATTCCCCCTTATTTTAAAGACCATAAATTACATGTTTAAAATTAGTAAAAGATTGAAGCCAAAGCTTTGAAAAGATCTTTGTTTTACTCATTCTGAATTCATATAATTAAAAAAAAATATATTATTAATCATATACTTCTCCCACCCAATTTCGAACCTGAGTCCCTTAACAATCTGGAAATGAGCAGTTTTTTTTTCTAATCCCTGTTTTTATGAATCGATATCAAACATGTCGATCAATGATACAATCTTACAGAATGCACAGACATTCTCTGGAGATGGAACCGAGCAGCCTGAGCATATTGGAAGAGAAAAGGTATGTACAATTTTGAAACTTATATGTTCTATAATGAACAACTATTCATATTTTCTACATACAACAATTGATCAAAGGTGAATGAAAGAATATAACCTTGAACCTCCCAAGGCTTCATTTACAGCTCCTCTTCATACACAAATCGTGGAAGGAAAAATCTGTAGTGAAGGCCAAAGGGCAGTCTCTTTAGCAGAAAATCTCTGTACTGATACAAACGCTGCAATTTCTCCAATGTGTATCTGTCCTATCAAATAGAAGACAAGTAATGTATAATGGAGTACATAAGTCGAAGAATCCAACTTGAACTTTCTCATTTTAGTCAATCTGCAAACAAGAGTGAAATGAATGTTAGAACTATGTTGATATATCCTGAAGAATGTTTAAAGCAACGAGTTATCCAAGGAGGAGCTAGAAGTACAATTCCCAAATTGACAAGTACTCCAAAACAGGAATGTGTTTAAATGTTGGATACAAACATGTAACGCAATTCAAAAGTCTGCATGATTTTGGTTATTCAACATGGATACTTGAAATGAAAATGCCTTGTACTATACATGTTACGGAGTACTTAGTAATAGAGTAATTGAAGCTTTCATCTGATCTAGTGAAATATTTTGGTAGAATGACAACTAACAGGCTAACAGCCTCTTTCTGTATAGAATTCCATTTGGAAACTATTCGTGAACCTTCAGCATAACAAAATCCAATAAACAAATGGAAAAAAGGATTACCTTGACCTATCCACAAAACACAATAAAAATGACAACTTTCAAAGATGTGAATTTCTAAGCACATGTGGTCTAAAAATATAATTATTGTTTAACAATGCATTTTCTATTTAATGCCATGAGATGAAACACTCTGGGATTTCATTATTCAATACAACTGCACTGTCAAAACTGACAACCAAGTAGCTAAAGAACTTGGAATAGGAAAGGCCCAAAAGGGTAAGAAGACTTCCCTCTAAATCAACAGTTGTGTTAAGATGATTAACGTGACAATAGAGGTTAGAAACGTTGAAATTAAATTTTGAGCACCCACCCAGCAGGACTTAAAAAAATAAAAAAATTAAAAAAATTGAAGTTTAAGGTAATGCAATAAAATGATAATGAATAATGACATGAAAAAGGGCCAGATAAAATGTTACTTGAAAGATTGACATCAACACTATTCCAATCATTTTTAGGCAGTACCTTGTCAGAGAAAAGGTCAGACAACAGAATTTCATTCCAAAAGTCAGGTACCCCGGGCAGACACCAGTGGCTACAATCAGCAAAAGATTTACGGTCACTCCAGTTGCCTACATGTGCATCACCCCTAGAAGCTGACATGGAAGTGATACGCAACATTTTAACAGGAAATCTCATCTTCTTCACTATATCAATTACCACATCTGAGAATGGGCTCTGATGCTTAAAATCATAATCTGATTCTGGAAATTGCATCACCGTGCAATGTGCGCTGGATTGGATACTGGAACAACCAAGATAGGGAAATGAATAAATTAATCAAATCAGTGCATTGCTAGGGCATGCACAGTTGCGCACACACAAGCTGAACAGTACAGGAACAATCCACAATTGTATTACATACGAAGTATAAATCACTGAGTAAAGTTATTTGTATAATTGTATGAAATACATTTTTATCTTTTTTTTTCTCAATAAGCTTAAACATATATATATATGGTCAAAATAAAATAATTTTGACCACATCTTATGATTTATACAATAGAAATAAATTAGTATGAGGGGTCTTATTAGATTCCCCTTATTATAAAATTTTCAAATATTAACTTTTTATAATTTTCACTTATACATAGCCGAAGATATTCATGATAAAAAATGTTCATTGGAGACCACGCAAATGCAAAGTGAGTCGAACTTTCAGGGACGGAGGGAGTATATATATATATATATATATATATATATATATATTTTAAAAGCAAGTTTTTCAACTAGTAGTTCAATATTCAGATCAGTCTGATTCATCAATGGCAGAGGCAGTAAATGTTTGTGTAGCACATTGCAATAAGCTAATTTTGAACATGTAGAGGGAATTACTCAATGTACCTCCAGTGAGATGGCTCAAAAGTACGAAAGTAAACACGTGTTCTTTTTGAATCTACTGAAGCTTCCACCCATGAAGCCCAGGTGGCCATAGCTTTTTTAAAGGCCGAAGGTATTGACATCCCAAGCTTCAGTGAACCACCTAACTGAAAATAGCAACTCCTGTTAGGAAACAATTTAAACGAATTTAGTATATGAATAGAAAAAAAGAACTGCAGCCACTCTTAAGGGATCTATGCATTTTCACATTAAAGATTGACAAATTCGTAATACACCACAAACAACATGCAATCTAGCAACTGGCATGCCAGCCACAAGCTATTATGGCTTGTCTAGGAATTAGGACGTATAAATCAATACCAAGAAAAGAATTACTGTTTCCCAATACATGATAGCTGCTCCAATAAGTCTCCACTCTTCATTGATTCAACAAATATAAAACTATCATCATATAAAATTATGTCTTCACTGGGTGTTGGCAGGCGTATATGTTCAGTCTTAACCTTTCTATAGTCTAGATCAATGAATTGGCTAGGAGGAAAATGACAGAAAGACATCCTCCATACACTATTTGTGCTTATAATAATGACAATTTAAATCATTTGGCATAAATTTAGCTAATTTCAAATTCCTGTACAATGCCAACTAAAAGTACTGTTCAACATGTTGCATGGCAAGTTATAGAAGTATGTTCCTTAGATCAATTAAGACACATTACATCCATATCTGTCATTCTTCACACCAACCAAGAGATCACCCTATTCCAGGCAACACGTGCATTACTCTTCATGAGACATAATCAATGAAGGAGCAGAGAACAGAAACTTCTGTATATTCACAGTATGAGGCACAAACATACACCTTTGACAAAATTATGCATAACTTTGAGAGAATCTCCTACACAACACAATGTATTCACTACTACATCAAACCCATCAAAGAGCCATATCTAAGGGATCCTACTTCTAAACTAGCTTGAGATTTGAGAAATTATTGATTTCAAAAGCCATTTTTCTCTATCTATAACATTGCATAAGTATCCATGTTTAACTCATTAAAACATCAAGAAGCATCTTTGCATTTATACATTTACATTTACAACTAGCCTCCTCCCTAATATTTATTTTTGCCACTCCTACTAACCCATACCCATCTGTTTTAGTATTGACCAATGCAGTTCCCATATGTTAAGGCTGTGAGAGTGACAACATTATCTTCAGGTCTAGGCAAGAATTTAATAAAGAGGAGGGACATTCAAGAGGTGCAATAAGTAAACTTATCAATATGCACTAATACACTATTAGCATGGTTGTCTTTCAAGGATTGATTGTTGTATTTTCCCCCAAATTTTAAAATCCTCTGAAATGCACACAAGATGGCTTTTTCATAGAAATCATTAGAGATAAATTCTTTGAAAAAGAGGAAGAGAGGTGTAAACCTGTAAAACATAGGCATGGAAACATACAGTACATCTGCCTTCGCACAGACATACATATAACCCAGCATCGATGTGAACATGCTGAGAGAAAAGTACACATACACAAAAAATAAAAAAAATATTGTGACTAAGTTATGAGTTCACACTAAACTTCATAGAATTGTAACTCCTAAATATTTTGTGATTACTCCAAATAGTATTAAATGACTAAATTCCTGACGTGCAACATCTTTTGTAAAATGTAAAATACAAAGTTGCATAAAATCGATAAATTAACATAGATCACATACTTTTATATGCACCAGAAGACTTACATTTCAAATAGCTTTGACGGTATCCACCAATGTCCCGAGTTGAATATTATTGCATCTGAATTAACCCATTCCTTACTGATGTCATCCATTTTGTCAAGCTTGAGTGTTGACTTCACTCTCTTTGGAGAATGCTTTGTTGCAATACCAGGTTGAACCAAGAAAACGGACCGATAAAACTCCACAGATAAATTAAAGGAACGAAAGCGAACAGCCAAGTGTCTCGTGGTTTTCGTTATGTTCCTTCCTTTTACTTCGTAAACACTATTCTTGTCCTCCACTCCTGTCATAAGCAAGCATATAAAGGACTCCCATTGTGTCCGACTCATAGAATCTCCCACAAAAACAACCCTTTTACCTCGAAGCCTTTCCAATATGTTAGATGCATTAAAAGCAGGGATGTCACAATCTTTGGGCTTCCATCTCCATCTAAGGTAATTTTTATCCTTCCTCCCATTGCCCAAGCAATTGAAACCTTGTTCCACAAAAGGACACTCAGAAGAATTGTACAAAGGATAGTTGTAGTCCGATACCCAACTCCCATCAAAGACATCACACTTACTCGATGAAGCACCATACTTGGGAAATACCAACCCGAAATTGGGAAAAATATTGAAATACCCAAAAGATAAACACAAGTAAAAGGTGATCAATGGTCCAGTAATGAAGAGAAAACACAAATTCCGAGAGATCAAGCTATCCCGACGAAGTCCATAGGAGTTGTCTGACTTATCTTTATGGAGAAACACTTTTGGACTACCAATAGCAGTGGCATTCTTCCTATTTGTAGATGTACTCCTACTGATAGATGAACCACTACTGAAGATGTTCATGGTCTTAAAAGATCACAAAAACACTCCTCAAATTACACATTACCAAAACCATAGATTCTAAATAACCCTAAATCCCAATTTTCTATAGATTCATTCGACTTTCATCATTCAACTCAAAATTGCATCAAAACCCTCAAACCCCACATACCCATTAATCCAAAAATCAAGCTGAATCAACAAACAAACTATTATAACCTGGAAATCTTCTGGGCCTCAAAGCTCAATTTATAATACAAAGCACAAACTGCAAACACAAAGCAATCATATAAATACACATAAATATGGATTAATTTCCAAGATTCACCAACATCAGAGAACAAAAACAACAAATTAAACTACACCCAACTCATTAATTATGTAGAAAATTAAAAGGGTATCATTCAAATCTCAAGAAAAACATGTTTCATACAGAATCATATAATATAATCATTTAATGGTAGTTTAGAAAGAAAAAATGCATGAAAAATTTACCAGTTTAGAAGCTCAAGAATGATCTCCAGGCATCAAATAATGCAGAATTAATGAGTGATTTGAAGAAGATGAGAGAAAATGGGGAGAGAGTGGAGAAGCATGAGAAGAAGATTCGAGGGAGAAAGGGTGGGAGCCGAGCAGCACATGACTGAATGAGACAGAGACTGGACAACGGACTGTATTAATTCATAAACTATTTCAGTAGTTGTTACATTTTGCCAACCCAGAAAATGATATTTTATTGCCAATTTTAGAAACTAAAAAGGATAAATTTTTTTCAAAAATAGTTGTGAAAAAAATAGTTACTCGTATTGAAAATGATGTCCTGCACTCAGGATTATGATGTGTATTATGTTCTCAAATGAATTATTGATTTAAAATAAGATTGGAGTATGTTAATGATTTAAAGAGCAAGATTAGCCATCAGTCTTAAGACTCCACATGACATCATCATCTTAGGTTTTAAAACAAGATTCTTTGTTTGATCCCATTTCTCTTGAGAAATCTTAGCTAAGTCTCAAGTTGAGTGTTGAATATTCAAGACTCAACTTAAAACTTGAGTGTGGACCCTACTTTATTTATTTTTATTATTACTAAGAGTAAAAAATAAAAATAAAAAAATTATAATAATATATGGTATGAGAAGTGTTAAGTGAGTTTAGGGCTAAAGTGCTAAATATGAGTGAGTATAAAAGAGTCTTAGCTAATACAATGACATCATTTTTAGTGGGATCCATAAAAAAGTGATGTCATTTTAAGTCTTACTATGAGGTGACCGAATCCATAATTTAATTACGCTTGAAGTTTTAGAGACAAAATGACCCGGCCCAAACCCAGTTGAGGATTTAAAGTGACAACTCTACATTATACTCACTTGGCGACTTAAAGATTAATATATTTGACTTTTTACAATCTTAAAAAATTCTTAAATCATTACTCCGTAATATAAACCAATTTAATAAGATTCATGTGACTGGTACATTGATGAGAATTTTTAGTTAAAATTGTTTTCAAAGTTTGTCGCAAAAAATATAAAAATTATACGTGAGTAAAAATATTTACCATTCATATGACCAACATACCAAGTGTATGATTAATCCAATCCAAGTTTTTGAAGAGAATTACTCTGTTATTAATATTATTATACTTTGTGAAATTAGATGTCTTCATTCGATGTTGAAAAGCATAATCCAAAACTCATGATTAATAATTGTGTATGATTTGATAATGTAATGTTGTACTTCGTAGCAGTACTTTATAACTAGTTAATACTCGAGTCATAATCGTCGTGTATAATTACTTTGTAATATTATAATAATGTTGTACTAATGTAATACTTCGTATTGTACTTTATGATCTACTAGCTAGGCGGTCTACAAATACGATAACTGGGCCAAGAGAGATCTGGGCTCGACTTGGATATTCTTCAGATTCTACAAAATGGATTTTCATGTATAACTAGCCCAAGACAATATTCCAATTACCATTACAATTAAACTACCTTCATTTTGGTTTTCTCCTTACTTTCTTCTTTCTTGGCGTTTTGTTTCTTTTTTAAAACTTATTTCAAGCAAAAAATATTATATAAATTTAACTTTAAATAGAATAAATTTTCATTAGATATATCATAAACAGTAATATTGTTTATGGCAGAGTGGCTAGGCAGCTACAATCTATTGAGATTCAACCTTATATTGTTTCGATTCATCCCTCCCCCACACCCTAATCCCTAAAAACACTTATATGGCTAAACAAGGGTAGTATTGTGCCTTTGTAAGCTAAGTATGAGGGAGGGCCCTGGCACAAGGCGTACACCTGCCTAACCAAGGCACGCTGCCAAGGCACAAGACATTGCCGCATCGGGCATTATTAAAAAAAAACACACTTATCTTTTGCAAATGAGGATACAACCTTGGCTTGCCATAGGGCCAATCCAAGGTCACTCCCAAGGCAACACAAAGCCAAAACCAATCAAAGACATCTTAAAATATGATAACAAGGGGTGAGCCAAGACATAAATGAGATGGTTTTAAATACCAAGTTGACCTCCTAGGACCCTTTAAGAACCCGAAGAATCAACTCAATGCATAATCTTGTCGAGTCCTAAATTATTCTCCAAATGCCAAACTTGAAGGCATACACAAAATTGGACTATTTTCAAATATTTTGGGACCTGGAGTCGAAAACTAAAGTGATGATATGGGAGGTATCTTATAATGTTGTTTGAAACAAATATGTCCACTAGCCGGTCATATAAAGTCTGCGGTGACTTTGAGTTAATATAAGAAGGCATGTACATAACCGGTTAAATTGACAGTTTAATTAAATGCAAAATAGATAGTTCTAACCCCTCCAGTGGTCTTTCGAGGTCTCATAGGGTCCATAGGAAACATTCTGATATCTTTTACTGTTGGGTCTAGAAATTAAAAAAATGTTCAAAATCAAAGGTTATCATCCATGCATTTGAACCAATTTTAGAATTTTTTTTCTTAAAACTAAAGTGAATGTGTAGGGCATCCTTCAAGCTTATCAGAGAAATGACCGAACTGGGAAAGTACGCATCTTTCCTGAGAGAAAAGCCTAGCAAAAGTCGAAGAACAACATGCATATAGATAATAGAATGGCCAAAAAAAGACCCATCAAGATGAATTTACCTTTTAATAAACTTTATCTCAATTAAGAAACATTGGGATACCAAGTAATTTCTTTATCAAACAACATGTCACTATGAAGTTCAGACTATGAGGCAAAAATTGCACCCTTTTTTTTTTTTTTTAAAAAAAAAAAAAAAATTTATAATTTAATTAAAGGGTAGTTGAATTTCATGTATATAAAAACTTTATAATTACAACTATGGCCTGCACTTTCCCTAATACAGTAACACTTACCCTAGGGTTGGAATAATTATGCTTTATTTAGTAAGCAGCTTTTGATCATTTTGAGTAAGTTCAATCCCTCCTTTTACTTCTTTCCTCTTCCTATTTCTCGTTTTCTGTTCCCTCCACTCTGATTAATTCTATCTCCCTTTTTTATTTTTTATTTTTTTAAATGCCTCAATTTTAAAGTTTATACATGAACAAAATACTGTATATAAAGTTGTTGGTATGAAATTTTCCTTCTAATTTTGATAGTTGAGCTCTTAATTAACTATTAGCCCTATTTTCTTTTACTTGAAGCCATTAATTACTAGTTAATATCATTGATGTTGTCATGATTTTTGATCAACTTCATGATCATATCCCGTAATATCTTATATGTCAAATATAATACTTACACAATTTTGAGACTATTTTTTTTTTTCAATTTTCTAAAATTATATTTTAACATGGATGATTATTGGTTCCCGATATAAATTACTAATGTTTGGATTTATAACTAAAAGTACTATTTCGGTAAAACTATGATATCAGTATAGTCAATAAAGAAATGAGTTAGAACCGTGATTGCATTTCCTTAACTACTAATGTTTTTGCAACTCTACCGTACTAATTAATTTGATCTTCTTGAAAGTAACTAGGGTTTTCATTATAGATAAAATTAAAACAATTTACTTACTAATACTAAAGAATTGTCTAACCTATTATGGGACACCATGAATATTAGACGATAGTCAACTAGTTCAGCATAGCGTAATCTTATTATATATTGACAAGTGTTTGTATGTCCTTACACTAAAATAATTGTTTTTTTTTTACAATAAAATAATTGTATTTACATGCAATAATACTTCGTAGTAATATAATACTTCGTACTTAATTAAATTAAAATAAAATAAAAAATTGTTTTGAAAGCTATGTGATATTAGATAAAATTCAAATCAAACACATACATGGTAAATTCTTAAAGATTATGTCGATTGTGAAATACTTAAATGGATAGTTTTTTGATAATTTAATTTTTTTTTTTTTAAAAAAAAAACATGATTACGTTTGCATAATTAAGTTTGCATAATTACGTGACATCTTCTAACAGCATTCTAAATTTGAAGAATACGTAATTAACACTAAGTATTTATTTCTAGTAAAAGTTAGGTGCCATATTTACCTTACGTGAAGAAGGATCAAAGATTTTGAAGCTGCTTAATGGTAAAAAGTCTATGAGATCAACCCATTATAGTCACACATGAGAAATGAGATATTGTATGCCTCCTTTTTCTTATCCAAACTTTACGTCGCAATAATAAAATAATAAAAAATAATTACAAATAATAAAATTGTTGATCACACGTATAATTAACATGAAACATTAATATATTAATATTTAATACAATTATGTCGTGATGTTGTATCATATGATTTGATACTGTGTTGTCAATGATTGATTGATGTTGATGTTGATGTGATGGCTAATGTTTAGAAAATTAAGGAAAGAAATTCCTTGATTGATTGATAAATACTTTGTATGTTAACTATGAATCTTATAATGAGTATAAAAAAGCTATTAAGTCTTATCGATCTAGTTCTAAAACGAATAGGGAATTAAGTCTAAAACCAAAATCATCAAAATTTAGCTTCCTTAACGTAATACACCAAATAATCATGGGCATAACATAGGGGGGCTGGCGCAGCCTAAACTCTCCGATCCATAGTCCATAATGTTCTACTTTGTATTATTTTTACTAGTATGGAACTAAAGATAATTCAAACAAATTAAAAATTTTGGATCTCTTAAAAATAATATTCTATGTCTTTGATTGATCAGAATAAGTTGTATCATACACTATGTAGAAGTTGCTTTAATTTGTTTTAGTGGTCAAAGGCTCATAGCAATGATCTTCCATTTAATACGAATTTTCCTTGTTCTTTTCCCCATTTTAAAGAGGTCTAACTTGTCAAAGTTGAATCGAGAGGATATATATGAGGGGTTAAGATGTGTAGTTGAGTCATTCACTTTATATGGAACTACACACCGATTAAGTTTTAACTTTGATAAGTAAAGATAATGACCTAGCTAGCTTTTATAACCTAATCACAATGCAAAATTAAGTCATGGCTAGCTTCGTTATTGATTAGTCTTTGCAAACACAAAATTTACAAACTATTGGGGTGTGGACGTTCGCACCCAACAGTTCGTGCGGCAACCCTTTCCCTTCGAATACATTACCCATTCATTTCAATTGTGAAAGAAAATTTGGATTTTAGGGCTCACAATTCACAAAACAAAGATCATCATGCTTGAATCAGGCAACCAAATCGAAGAGCATTTTCTGATTGAATCGAAAACCCCTCAAAACGAAGATGACGAAGTGCAATTTGCGATGGACGGTGAACGAAGATGACGATGAACAATTTGCGATTACAGTTCGCTTGGTTTGCGATTTCAGATGGTTCGATTTTCAGGTGGTGCGATTTGGTTGGAGGTGGTGTTTGGGCTGCGATTTTGGTTGTTGGAGGTGGTGCGAATTTGGGGGTGCAATTGGGCGGCAGTAATGGTGGCTATTAGGCGGCAGTTGGGGAGCTGCGGAGGTGTGGAGACTCTTGGCGAAGCTAGTGACTACCCGTGCTTCTCTGTTGCAGCATGGTGGTGTGAATGTGTTGCTCCGGCAGGAGCTGCGGTGTGGCTGGTATGGTTTAAAAGCAAATATATATGATAAAAGCAAGTTTTTCAACAAGTAGTTCAATATTCAGATCAGTCTGATTCATCAATGGCAGAGGCAGTAAATGTTTGTGTAGCACATTGCAATAAGCTAATTTTGAACATGTAGAGGGAATTACTCAATGTACCTCCAGTGAGATGGCTCAAAAGTACGAAAGTAAACACGTGTTCTTTTTGAATCTACTGAAGCTTCCACCCATGAAGCCCAGGTGGCCATAGCTTTTTTAAAGGCCGAAGGTATTGACATCCCAAGCTTCAGTGAACCACCTAACTGAAAATAGCAACTCCTGTTAGGAAACAATTTAAACGAATTTAGTATATGAATAGAAAAAAAGAACTGCAGCCACTCTTAAGGGATCTATGCATTTTCACATTAAAGATTGACAAATTCGTAATACACCACAAACAACATGCAATCTAGCAACTGGCATGCCAGCCACAAGCTATTATGGCTTGTCTAGGAATTAGGACGTATAAATCAATACCAAGAAAAGAATTACTGTTTCCCAATACATGATAGCTGCTCCAATAAGTCTCCACTCTTCATTGATTCAACAAATATAAAACTATCATCATATAAAATTATGTCTTCACTGGGTGTTGGCAGGCGTATATGTTCAGTCTTAACCTTTCTATAGTCTAGATCAATGAATTGGCTAGGAGGAAAATGACAGAAAGACATCCTCCATACACTATTTGTGCTTATAATAATGACAATTTAAATCATTTGGCATAAATTTAGCTAATTTCAAATTCCTGTACAATGCCAACTAAAAGTACTGTTCAACATGTTGCATGGCAAGTTATAGAAGTATGTTCCTTAGATCAATTAAGACACATTACATCCATATCTGTCATTCTTCACACCAACCAAGAGATCACCCTATTCCAGGCAACACGTGCATTACTCTTCATGAGACATAATCAATGAAGGAGCAGAGAACAGAAACTTCTGTATATTCACAGTATGAGGCACAAACATACACCTTTGACAAAATTATGCATAACTTTGAGAGAATCTCCTACACAACACAATGTATTCACTACTACATCAAACCCATCAAAGAGCCATATCTAAGGGATCCTACTTCTAAACTAGCTTGAGATTTGAGAAATTATTGATTTCAAAAGCCATTTTTCTCTATCTATAACATTGCATAAGTATCCATGTTTAACTCATTAAAACATCAAGAAGCATCTTTGCATTTATACATTTACATTTACAACTAGCCTCCTCCCTAATATTTATTTTTGCCACTCCTACTAACCCATACCCATCTGTTTTAGTATTGACCAATGCAGTTCCCATATGTTAAGGCTGTGAGAGTGACAACATTATCTTCAGGTCTAGGCAAGAATTTAATAAAGAGGAGGGACATTCAAGAGGTGCAATAAGTAAACTTATCAATATGCACTAATACACTATTAGCATGGTTGTCTTTCAAGGATTGATTGTTGTATTTTCCCCCAAATTTTAAAATCCTCTGAAATGCACACAAGATGGCTTTTTCATAGAAATCATTAGAGATAAATTCTTTGAAAAAGAGGAAGAGAGGTGTAAACCTGTAAAACATAGGCATGGAAACATACAGTACATCTGCCTTCGCACAGACATACATATAACCCAGCATCGATGTGAACATGCTGAGAGAAAAGTACACATACACAAAAAATAAAAAAATATTGTGACTAAGTTATGAGTTCACACTAAACTTCATAGAATTGTAACTCCTAAATATTTTGTGATTACTCCAAATAGTATTAAATGACTAAATTCCTGACGTGCAACATCTTTTGTAAAATGTAAAATACAAAGTTGCATAAAATCGATAAATTAACATAGATCACATACTTTTATATGCACCAGAAGACTTACATTTCAAATAGCTTTGACGGTATCCACCAATGTCCCGAGTTGAATATTATTGCATCTGAATTAACCCATTCCTTACTGATGTCATCCATTTTGTCAAGCTTGAGTGTTGACTTCACTCTCTTTGGAGAATGCTTTGTTGCAATACCAGGTTGAACCAAGAAAACGGACCGATAAAACTCCACAGATAAATTAAAGGAACGAAAGCGAACAGCCAAGTGTCTCGTGGTTTTCGTTATGTTCCTTCCTTTTACTTCGTAAACACTATTCTTGTCCTCCACTCCTGTCATAAGCAAGCATATAAAGGACTCCCATTGTGTCCGACTCATAGAATCTCCCACAAAAACAACCCTTTTACCTCGAAGCCTTTCCAATATGTTAGATGCATTAAAAGCAGGGATGTCACAATCTTTGGGCTTCCATCTCCATCTAAGGTAATTTTTATCCTTCCTCCCATTGCCCAAGCAATTGAAACCTTGTTCCACAAAAGGACACTCAGAAGAATTGTACAAAGGATAGTTGTAGTCCGATACCCAACTCCCATCAAAGACATCACACTTACTCGATGAAGCACCATACTTGGGAAATACCAACCCGAAATTGGGAAAAATATTGAAATACCCAAAAGATAAACACAAGTAAAAGGTGATCAATGGTCCAGTAATGAAGAGAAAACACAAATTCCGAGAGATCAAGCTATCCCGACGAAGTCCATAGGAGTTGTCTGACTTATCTTTATGGAGAAACACTTTTGGACTACCAATAGCAGTGGCATTCTTCCTATTTGTAGATGTACTCCTACTGATAGATGAACCACTACTGAAGATGTTCATGGTCTTAAAAGATCACAAAAACACTCCTCAAATTACACATTACCAAAACCATAGATTCTAAATAACCCTAAATCCCAATTTTCTATAGATTCATTCGACTTTCATCATTCAACTCAAAATTGCATCAAAACCCTCAAACCCCACATACCCATTAATCCAAAAATCAAGCTGAATCAACAAACAAACTATTATAACCTGGAAATCTTCTGGGCCTCAAAGCTCAATTTATAATACAAAGCACAAACTGCAAACACAAAGCAATCATATAAATACACATAAATATGGATTAATTTCCAAGATTCACCAACATCAGAGAACAAAAACAACAAATTAAACTACACCCAACTCATTAATTATGTAGAAAATTAAAAGGGTATCATTCAAATCTCAAGAAAAACATGTTTCATACAGAATCATATAATATAATCATTTAATGGTAGTTTAGAAAGAAAAAATGCATGAAAAATTTACCAGTTTAGAAGCTCAAGAATGATCTCCAGGCATCAAATAATGCAGAATTAATGAGTGATTTGAAGAAGATGAGAGAAAATGGGGAGAGAGTGGAGAAGCATGAGAAGAAGATTCGAGGGAGAAAGGGTGGGAGCCGAGCAGCACATGACTGAATGAGACAGAGACTGGACAACGGACTGTATTAATTCATAAACTATTTCAGTAGTTGTTACATTTTGCCAACCCAGAAAATGATATTTTATTGCCAATTTTAGAAACTAAAAAGGATAAATTTTTTTCAAAAATAGTTGTGAAAAAAATAGTTACTCGTATTGAAAATGATGTCCTGCACTCAGGATTATGATGTGTATTATGTTCTCAAATGAATTATTGATTTAAAATAAGATTGGAGTATGTTAATGATTTAAAGAGCAAGATTAGCCATCAGTCTTAAGACTCCACATGACATCATCATCTTAGGTTTTAAAACAAGATTCTTTGTTTGATCCCATTTCTCTTGAGAAATCTTAGCTAAGTCTCAAGTTGAGTGTTGAATATTCAAGACTCAACTTAAAACTTGAGTGTGGACCCTACTTTATTTATTTTTATTATTACTAAGAGTAAAAAATAAAAATAAAAAAATTATAATAATATATGGTATGAGAAGTGTTAAGTGAGTTTAGGGCTAAAGTGCTAAATATGAGTGAGTATAAAAGAGTCTTAGCTAATACAATGACATCATTTTTAGTGGGATCCATAAAAAAGTGATGTCATTTTAAGTCTTACTATGAGGTGACCGAATCCATAATTTAATTACGCTTGAAGTTTTAGAGACAAAATGACCCGGCCCAAACCCAGTTGAGGATTTAAAGTGACAACTCTACATTATACTCACTTGGCGACTTAAAGATTAATATATTTGACTTTTTACAATCTTAAAAAATTCTTAAATCATTACTCCGTAATATAAACCAATTTAATAAGATTCATGTGACTGGTACATTGATGAGAATTTTTAGTTAAAATTGTTTTCAAAGTTTGTCGCAAAAAATATAAAAATTATACGTGAGTAAAAATATTTACCATTCATATGACCAACATACCAAGTGTATGATTAATCCAATCCAAGTTTTTGAAGAGAATTACTCTGTTATTAATATTATTATACTTTGTGAAATTAGATGTCTTCATTCGATGTTGAAAAGCATAATCCAAAACTCATGATTAATAATTGTGTATGATTTGATAATGTAATGTTGTACTTCGTAGCAGTACTTTATAACTAGTTAATACTCGAGTCATAATCGTCGTGTATAATTACTTTGTAATATTATAATAATGTTGTACTAATGTAATACTTCGTATTGTACTTTATGATCTACTAGCTAGGCGGTCTACAAATACGATAACTGGGCCAAGAGAGATCTGGGCTCGACTTGGATATTCTTCAGATTCTACAAAATGGATTTTCATGTATAACTAGCCCAAGACAATATTCCAATTACCATTACAATTAAACTACCTTCATTTTGGTTTTCTCCTTACTTTCTTCTTTCTTGGCGTTTTGTTTCTTTTTTAAAACTTATTTCAAGCAAAAAATATTATATAAATTTAACTTTAAATAGAATAAATTTTCATTAGATATATCATAAACAGTAATATTGTTTATGGCAGAGTGGCTAGGCAGCTACAATCTATTGAGATTCAACCTTATATTGTTTCGATTCATCCCTCCCCCACACCCTAATCCCTAAAAACACTTATATGGCTAAACAAGGGTAGTATTGTGCCTTTGTAAGCTAAGTATGAGGGAGGGCCCTGGCACAAGGCGTACACCTGCCTAACCAAGGCACGCTGCCAAGGCACAAGACATTGCCGCATCGGGCATTATTAAAAAAAAAACACACTTATCTTTTGCAAATGAGGATACAACCTTGGCTTGCCATAGGGCCAATCCAAGGTCACTCCCAAGGCAACACAAAGCCAAAACCAATCAAAGACATCTTAAAATATGATAACAAGGGGTGAGCCAAGACATAAATGAGATGGTTTTAAATACCAAGTTGACCTCCTAGGACCCTTTAAGAACCCGAAGAATCAACTCAATGCATAATCTTGTCGAGTCCTAAATTATTCTCCAAATGCCAAACTTGAAGGCATACACAAAATTGGACTATTTTCAAATATTTTGGGACCTGGAGTCGAAAACTAAAGTGATGATATGGGAGGTATCTTATAATGTTGTTTGAAACAAATATGTCCACTAGCCGGTCATATAAAGTCTGCGGTGACTTTGAGTTAATATAAGAAGGCATGTACATAACCGGTTAAATTGACAGTTTAATTAAATGCAAAATAGATAGTTCTAACCCCTCCAGTGGTCTTTCGAGGTCTCATAGGGTCCATAGGAAACATTCTGATATCTTTTACTGTTGGGTCTAGAAATTAAAAAAATGTTCAAAATCAAAGGTTATCATCCATGCATTTGAACCAATTTTAGAATTTTTTTTCTTAAAACTAAAGTGAATGTGTAGGGCATCCTTCAAGCTTATCAGAGAAATGACCGAACTGGGAAAGTACGCATCTTTCCTGAGAGAAAAGCCTAGCAAAAGTCGAAGAACAACATGCATATAGATAATAGAATGGCCAAAAAAAGACCATCAAGATGAATTTACCTTTTAATAAACTTTATCTCAATTAAGAAACATTGGGATACCAAGTAATTTCTTTATCAAACAACATGTCACTATGAAGTTCAGACTATGAGGCAAAAATTGCACCCTTTTTTTTTTTTTTAAAAAAAAAAAAAAAATTTATAATTTAATTAAAGGGTAGTTGAATTTCATGTATATAAAAACTTTATAATTACAACTATGGCCTGCACTTTCCCTAATACAGTAACACTTACCCTAGGGTTGGAATAATTATGCTTTATTTAGTAAGCAGCTTTTGATCATTTTGAGTAAGTTCAATCCCTCCTTTTACTTCTTTCCTCTTCCTATTTCTCGTTTTCTGTTCCCTCCACTCTGATTAATTCTATCTCCCTTTTTTATTTTTTATTTTTTTAAATGCCTCAATTTTAAAGTTTATACATGAACAAAATACTGTATATAAAGTTGTTGGTATGAAATTTTCCTTCTAATTTTGATAGTTGAGCTCTTAATTAACTATTAGCCCTATTTTCTTTTACTTGAAGCCATTAATTACTAGTTAATATCATTGATGTTGTCATGATTTTTGATCAACTTCATGATCATATCCCGTAATATCTTATATGTCAAATATAATACTTACACAATTTTGAGACTATTTTTTTTTTCAATTTTCTAAAATTATATTTTAACATGGATGATTATTGGTTCCCGATATAAATTACTAATGTTTGGATTTATAACTAAAAGTACTATTTCGGTAAAACTATGATATCAGTATAGTCAATAAAGAAATGAGTTAGAACCGTGATTGCATTTCCTTAACTACTAATGTTTTTGCAACTCTACCGTACTAATTAATTTGATCTTCTTGAAAGTAACTAGGGTTTTCATTATAGATAAAATTAAAACAATTTACTTACTAATACTAAAGAATTGTCTAACCTATTATGGGACACCATGAATATTAGACGATAGTCAACTAGTTCAGCATAGCGTAATCTTATTATATATTGACAAGTGTTTGTATGTCCTTACACTAAAATAATTGTTTTTTTTTTACAATAAAATAATTGTATTTACATGCAATAATACTTCGTAGTAATATAATACTTCGTACTTAATTAAATTAAAATAAAATAAAAAATTGTTTTGAAAGCTATGTGATATTAGATAAAATTCAAATCAAACACATACATGGTAAATTCTTAAAGATTATGTCGATTGTGAAATACTTAAATGGATAGTTTTTTGATAATTTAATTTTTTTTTTTTAAAAAAAAAAACATGATTACGTTTGCATAATTAAGTTTGCATAATTACGTGACATCTTCTAACAGCATTCTAAATTTGAAGAATACGTAATTAACACTAAGTATTTATTTCTAGTAAAAGTTAGGTGCCATATTTACCTTACGTGAAGAAGGATCAAAGATTTTGAAGCTGCTTAATGGTAAAAAGTCTATGAGATCAACCCATTATAGTCACACATGAGAAATGAGATATTGTATGCCTCCTTTTTCTTATCCAAACTTTACGTCGCAATAATAAAATAATAAAAAATAATTACAAATAATAAAATTGTTGATCACACGTATAATTAACATGAAACATTAATATATTAATATTTAATACAATTATGTCGTGATGTTGTATCATATGATTTGATACTGTGTTGTCAATGATTGATTGATGTTGATGTTGATGTGATGGCTAATGTTTAGAAAATTAAGGAAAGAAATTCCTTGATTGATTGATAAATACTTTGTATGTTAACTATGAATCTTATAATGAGTATAAAAAAGCTATTAAGTCTTATCGATCTAGTTCTAAAACGAATAGGGAATTAAGTCTAAAACCAAAATCATCAAAATTTAGCTTCCTTAACGTAATACACCAAATAATCATGGGCATAACATAGGGGGGCTGGCGCAGCCTAAACTCTCCGATCCATAGTCCATAATGTTCTACTTTGTATTATTTTTACTAGTATGGAACTAAAGATAATTCAAACAAATTAAAAATTTTGGATCTCTTAAAAATAATATTCTATGTCTTTGATTGATCAGAATAAGTTGTATCATACACTATGTAGAAGTTGCTTTAATTTGTTTTAGTGGTCAAAGGCTCATAGCAATGATCTTCCATTTAATACGAATTTTCCTTGTTCTTTTCCCCATTTTAAAGAGGTCTAACTTGTCAAAGTTGAATCGAGAGGATATATATGAGGGGTTAAGATGTGTAGTTGAGTCATTCACTTTATATGGAACTACACACCGATTAAGTTTTAACTTTGATAAGTAAAGATAATGACCTAGCTAGCTTTTATAACCTAATCACAATGCAAAATTAAGTCATGGCTAGCTTCGTTATTGATTAGTCTTTGCAAACACAAAATTTACAAACTATTGGGGTGTGGACGTTCGCACCCAACAGTTCGTGCGGCAACCCTTTCCCTTCGAATACATTACCCATTCATTTCAATTGTGAAAGAAAATTTGGATTTTAGGGCTCACAATTCACAAAACAAAGATCATCATGCTTGAATCAGGCAACCAAATCGAAGAGCATTTTCTGATTGAAT